TGCCGGAGAGCAGAGCCAACTCGGCCTGTCTGTTCGTTGCAACTTCTAACTGTACACGCTGGCTGCACTCCCGGTTGCGCGGACACTTCGCAACGATCCTGCGAAACGTTCATCCTTAACGCGCTCGCCTCCGAACGGAAATTGCTAAAAATCATGATGTTTCTCCGGGCGGAGCTCGTTCGAAATGTCTCAAATTCCGACGAGGGATTACCGTGGTCGAAGAAGCTTTTGTGAATCGGGGATGCACCGGTCGTGCACGGAAGAACGTTGAAGAACCTTGCACTTTAATCGATCGCCCTTCGAGTCGTGCGATGGGAGACGCACGACTCGATTAATGTCGAGGAGAGATATGATGTCCTCGCGAGAGATCTTCGGACCATCGAATCTCCCTATTAACGGAATGACTTACGGGCGAGCATGATTCACGCTGTAGATACCGGAACGGCTTGGTTATCAGCGATTATCTGTCGAACGAACGGAGAAACGAGAGACGGTGATTTATCACCGGCATACCAGCGATATTTTTGCCGGTCGCGTTAACGAGATAGATGATCGATTTCGAGTCGATCCTGATCGTCGATCGGCCGATACTTTCACTGGGTCGCGTTTCTCGCGACGCGACGCGTTCGATATCGATCGCACAGGATCTACGCGTGACGCGGGTCGCCTCGCCGTCAATTACACGCTCGGTAGCTCGATCACGGGCATGAAATTAATACCATTAGGAGAAAGTATACGCACGCAGGTATTTGCATTTGTCGTGAAATGGAGCACGGTCGGTGTAACGACGGTATTCCGCGATAGCCTAATGGCAAGACGTACACCGGCGACGACCTAGATCCGGAAGGATCGGGCCAGCGATCGTGCCTCGATCGAACGTCGATGCGGCGGATCCTGCGTGTCGCTTATGGTCGCTGGTACTCGGTCAGCTTGGCAAAGAAAGGATCTACCGACGATCCCGAGCGATCGGGAAGTGACTCAACCGCTGATCGATCGCGGTCTAGCCGCGGCAGCAAGAAACGATTCTTCCCTGAATCGGCCGATCGACAAAGAACCCTGGAATCTTGTCGCAGGGACTTTTAGAGCGGTGACGATTGGACGATCGAGAGTATCGAGACCGGTTGCTCTTCCGAGAAGAACTCCCACGTGTTGCAAACGAAAGTATCCGTGCGGCGCGAGACGACGATTTCCTGGTACGTGCCCTTTTATATCTGAAAACGGCGCACGATTTCTACGCGACAGATAGTCGGAAAATTTTCACGGTCGCGCGGGATCGTGTACATTCGAACCCCGAGCATGGAACGGCCGTTTCCTGGTAACCTACCCTTTTGTCTCTGAAAACGGCGCACGATCGCCGCGACAAAAAATCGGTAAACTTTCTCAGCGGCGTGGAATCGCGAGCGTTCGTACTCCGAGCATGAAATATCGATTTCCTAGTATCTCATAGTCCGCGGAATGCTCTATGATCTACGCGAGAAACATAATTATGCGCATTCCGGTTGCGGGGGAGTTACGCCGATAGGACGTCGATTTCTTGGCATCGGATGCGTTCGCTTCTCAAAGTAGTCCATGATCGTCGCGAGCAAATAAATTATATAGAAACTCTTTTAAACGGAGTTCCCGCTTGCGAGGCAGAAAATAACTAAAAACACTTTCTTGCCGGCGGACTTACGTGCGAATAGAGATCTCGAAATGTATCGCGTGCGCGCGAGCAGTCTTTCGCCCAGCGTTCGTAATTCGCGGCATCGAAATTAGAGGACTTCAGAGACGGATTTTCTCGAGGTGTTAAGGTAGGAAGGTGGTAGCGGTCGTTGAATAGGCGCATAATTGGTTTATCCCGTTTCGCTCGGGATTCCGCGAAAACGGGAAACTTTCTCGTTACGATTTCTGACCGGTGTCGATTCAATTACCCGCGGTTCCATTCGCGGAACGGCCCGACAACGTCCGGCAGAAGAAGATCGGACGAGAAATGGGTTAATTGTCTTCTAAAAGACGCCTCCTGTGGCCGACGTAACGCGACGCGAGCTCTAGTCATTACGCTCCCCGTGTGGATAAATAAATTAGGTGTTGCCGGCGCGCCTCGTTTGCCCGTTCCGCGGACCTGTCCCGCTTGTTACTTACTCATTGTCAACCTTCTTCTGCGTTTTTCGGCGAAACCGTGCTCTCGTTAGCGTACTCGCACGAATTCCTAAACACTTGGAATTCCTTCTTCTTCAGCGTTTAGGCCGTTAACGAGGCGCGGGATAATTGCTGCAGCCCTGCTGCGATCCTCGAAATAATGCTTTAAGAGGAGCAGTCGTCTCCGTTGGGAATAATTTTCTGGCGCAGAATTTAGCGGAGTCTCTGGAATTATTTGCGATTCGAGTGCAGCTCTGCGAGTCTCGGTGCAAGCATTAATTAAAGTGCAACTTGATGGGTACGATTAGTAGCAATGTTTAAAAGAATTGATTTAAAATATAAATGAAAATCCGTCAAGTTGACTATATATTTGTAGCTTTTGTAAGAATCAATTTAGGTGGTCGCTTTCCTGGTTCATCTTTAGAACAATTATACTATGCTATGCCATTAGTTCTCCGAAGCAGGATTACTTCTTTATAAGAAGCGAAATAAATTTGAAAAACAGGACTGTGTGGATAAATAATTACATGTGGAAGCGAATGGTCCAGTAGTTTTTACCGTAATGAATTAAGGAGCATTGTCTCGGGTGTCAAGGAACAGTTAAACGGATCTCCCTGACCCAAAGTGTTCGCCATTACCGCCACTCGTGTCTCTTTTTTTCTTGAAATTTCGCTCTTTAATCGGCGCGTTCACGCGGTTAGTTTGTCCGAGTGCTGATGATTTCTGTCGATCTCGAGGTATTTCGTTATTCGTCATTGCCGGACTAGAACGCCCAGGGAAAAGTAAGCACGGCCTGGTTTCGAAAGCGCGCGACTTTCAAAATTTCTCGGATCGAGGCGATGAATCGATCGGATCTTAGACGGTTTCGTGGCCGCTGCACCGGGGCACGGCGAATTTCTTCGGGCGTCGACGAAAGTATTCGAAAGTACGTGATCCCTGGGCAGAAAAGTTAACCTAAAAATCGTGAAAGTTTTCACGCGATGCCGATTTGTCAGGCTGGCAACGACGAGATCCAGATTTAACGGATCCCAGGCGTTCCATGGATCCTCTCGACCCGTTTTCCGTTCTTTTTTTCCCCACCTTCTAACGCGATCGTTCCGCCGGTTTTTCACCGATCCCGATGATTTTTTGGATTAAAGGGGGCCGCGGTGCATATCGATCGCAAGAAATCATTGTTCTTGCCGCCTCGTGTCCATTACGATCGCGGTGGGTGGACCGATGGAAAGCGAATCGAACGAATGATCCTAAGTGCCCAAGGTTTTTTTTTATCGCCGATCGATCCACTGCCCCGTGTTAACCGAGTTTGCCTGGCCCGCAGGCTGCTCTTAAAAACTGCTGGAAAAAAAGTAATTCCTCCGATCGACCGTAATTACAATCCTAATCGAGTGTGACCAACCGCTGTACCATTTACCAGAGAAGTAGATTAAAGCCATGTTTCCTCTCCTCCGTGCCTCTTTTGAATATTTCAGCGAGCGCAGCAGTTTCTCGTCGATTTTTCGATGTGTCCATATTCCCGCGGACGATTAAATCGCGAGCAAAAAATCGGCGCGGTGGCGTCAAGATTCTTCGAGCAGCCGCTCGTAATTATTGGGACCGTCGACATTCTGCTCGGATTACGTTCGGGCACGGTTGCTGCGACAGTCAATGCGAGGGCCTTCTTTGGCAGCTTTTATTGCTAATTCGTTTTTGCTAGGGACACATTTGCTGACTTCTCCGCAATGAGCAGAAGTGTTTACCCCCGTCGATTGAACATCGCACGGTAAAAGCGAAGGTCGAACATAAAATCAGTTAGAAAATTCTCAGCATCATCGACGACTGCCGGTCGCAGCGTTATTATTAGGACGGTAATTTTTAAGTAGAAAGCGATCGGCTGGCAGCACGCGAAACAATACATTTCCCAGCTGCTGCTCGAACATAATTTTCTCAATTAGGAAATTCTCAGCGAAACCGATGGGAGAAAGAGTTATTATCGGGCCAGTGATTTTTTTTTTAGGGAAGAGCAATCAGAAGCAACGACCGGGCACGTAGCAACTCGCGAAACGATAAATTTCCCAGCGGTTGCTCGAGATTGAATTAAACAAAGAACATCCTCGGGTGCCCTATGAAAGAATCATCTCACGTTGTTGCTGTATTTCACGCAGGAACAGGGAAAAGTAACGGGGGCAGACAGAGACATGTGTACGTGCGGGGAAAGTGATTTTTTCGCGAAATCCTGCCAATCGATCTCACCGATGGCACGGTGACAAGACTCGTCGACGGCTAGACGGGTTATCTGGACGCGGGGATCGACTGAATGGGCAAACAGGCGAGGCGTGAGGCCGATTAAACGATGATCGTGATTTTCCTTCATTAGCCGGCAGCTCGATGTTCTTTCAAGACTGCCGACTCCGTGTTAGGACTTTGTTGGAAGTCGTGATACAGCCTATGACCTAAAACCTTGATGGGAAACTTGTGCCGCGAAGTCAAACATTTCTTCATCCGACATGTTTGCTTGCTCATTGTCAACATTTTTATAGGATGTAATGGATAGTTCGAAGGAAAATCTCTTGTGTTTGTAGGTAATTGATTTTATAATATGTTCGTGTCGCTTTGAGATGAACAGTGAGTTGAAGAGTGTACTTCAATATTTTAGACATTTTTAATAGCTTTTTCTTGAACACTAATTTATCAATATGCTGAAAATTAATATTTTAACGTTCGATCGCGCGGAATGAGATTATTAGAACTTTATTTATCGACCTAGAAATACTTCCAACTTTATCTACCGAAGGTAAAGGACTCGAAACATCATAAACTTCTATAAATATAAAATACTTTAATAGAGAGTTTAATAATAATAATAATACTAATACTAATAATACTAATAATAATAATAATAATAATAGTAGTAATAAAATAGAAAAATATATTCGTGTTCCCTTTATATGTACTTTATCTTAACATTTGTACAACATAAATTAGTACTCCATTGTCGCATCTGCAAGGTAAAGTAGACCAGGGTTAAAAATGCAATTTCACATTAAATTAACAAGACAACGGGATACATACCGCTCTCTCGAATTTTTTGTCCCTTTCTCTCATTTTCCAGGTTCCAAAGGAATTCATGAAATAGTCGCATCGATTTATTCAAGCTAGTCTTTTTGTAGTCCTTGATTCGCGTTTTAGTTAAGTCGTTGGTCTCCTGCTCGGCTTTATCTTTCGCATCGAACTCGTTTATCTCCTCGATCAGCGATGTTATAGTTGGCACCCTGTCCGGTTCGAATTTGTCAACGGTGTTTGCGGTAAACGGTATGCAAACTTTGCCAGTTTTTGGGTGAACACAGAATGGGGCCTTTAGAAGATGGTTTAGTCCCTTGCTGACATTTATGTCCAGTCTTGGGTAGGAATACTGTATCATTACTTCCTCGATTATGTGACGGTACTGGTACCACTTCTTGTCTACCTAGAAACAAGCCTTAAATAATGCTTGCTGAAAACGAAATTATAATAGATTTTAAGAATGTTTCTTACCCCTGTTTTCTTGCCTTTTATGAACTTTACAAAAACATTCCATCTGTCTTTGCTAGTGCTGCATTGACTAAATAACGTCTTCAACTCCTGTCTGTCTTCGTCGTCTGCAATAATCTGCAGAAATTTGGACACGCCTTCTTCCGTGCCTAGTATATTCTGCTCTTCTATACAGAAAGGCACAAAGACAGGTTCTATCGTCTCCAAAGCGCGTCTGAGAGTAAAATAATTGCATTTTTATTAGTAACAGGTCTTGGTTGAGTGAAAAATTAGTCCGATTAAATTTTACATACTTGATGGAATGGTGGATTTTGTCTCCGGGCAGATTCACTTTCTTCTTTGTATATTCTCCGCCCTCTAGGATCTGTAGATACTCTGCCACTGCAGTACGCTCGTAGCTAGTCAGTTTGCGTGTACCAGAATCGCATACCCAACAATGTATGCCTCTTCTGCCAGAGAAGATCCACAAAATGTGCTTGTATCCAAAGTCCACTGAAAAAATCAAACTTTATTCGAATTCATGAACGACGAAGTTGCCAACATTTCATGAATTATTGTCCGCTTACGTCTTAGAGCACTGTCCAGAATCTTACAGGCAAGTGCCATGAACTTCCAGCACTTGGAACAAATATCTGCACCGCTGCAGCATGTTCTGATTTCGTCGTAATCTGTCATATCTATATCGAACACCAATTCCCTCTCTGTAGGTTGGAAATTTGTGCCCTTATGGCGATCCTTGGGACTGAACACAATAAAATTATGTAGTTTAGTCATCTGATATCAAAAGCATTGACAAATACTCACCAGTAATTATACACTGCACCAATGTCGATCTTAAAAGGAATCAGCCTCTTAACCTCATATTGCAGGTCCTGTGTAGTCATAAATGACTGGTATCTGATATAAATGTCATTGTGTAAAGTGAAGGAAAATTCTCTGCGACTGAATAGGTTCGCTGAAAAAACAATCCATTCTCATTAATCTATTCAAATTCTACATGGAAGAATGCGATTGACATACAATTTCCATAACTCAGCCATCGAAAGAAATCGTGAAAAGGAAATAATCTGGTGTAGTAGATCGGCATTAAGTCAGCCAAGTTTTCCACGTCTCCCATGCTGTCAATTTCTTGAAAATTCCACTAAAAAGATTCAAAGCTTGAAACGCCGAACACTGGACGAGGATTGGAACAGTTTATGGCGGGAAAATGTATCGGCATGAAACAGACAATTTGAAGATGGCACCCTCCTTATCAGAGCTTCGCGAGTCTCGTTATAAAGGGCGCTGCTAAATAGTAGAGAAAATCGCGCTAATTTCAAATATTCGTGCACAGCTGATTAGCAAAGGACAGCTCCCCATCGACTGATTGGACAAATTTGAATTGCTAGAATCAGAAGTTCTCGACGTTCGGGAAGAATAAACGAGACCGTGAAATTTGTGTCACGTGTATTTCATCGGGTTTAGGTTCGCGGGGGTGTAAATAAAGGGTAAAGGTGTATTTGACCGTAACTTTTATTTTCTAATGTCGTTACACGTATACTGAATCAAATTTAGAGTGTAGTACCATCAACCCTTTTACATAGTGCAAAAATAGAACGGTTCTATTTTTGAATAAACATTACTGGTAGGAATGTATCGTTGAACTTATCTAAATAGAAAAAGGAGAAAACGCCTGTCAATGTTCCGTTTCAACGTCGACGACACTCACATATACGTGTACCCGATCACAATTCGTCGGAAGACGAATCCCGTCGAATCAAAACCAAAGGAAAACTGATTAAACGTAAGTACAAGCTATCAGAAAATTCAAACAACCACGAGTCACGTTCTGTTCACGGTGTGTGGATTTCTTTTATTTACAATTCATGGTGAAGAAAATGTGGGAACTTGTGTGTAGCGCCTAGCGCGCGCGCGCGCGCGCATGTTGCGTGTGTGTGTGTGATTCACCGTGTGTAGTATACATATATATTCTATATATATTGTATATATATATATATAAAGTAAAAACGAATCGGACGATCGCGTCACCTAAAACTTATCTAAGCGCAAAAAAGGAATCGAAGATGAGGCGAGGAATTATGGTCTCTCGAGGTCGAAGATTAATGTCAGGATGCTACTAACATACAGTATGATACAGTCTTCGTTGCCGGTGTTCTCGCACACAGCAGTTTTCGATTTTTAAATACGTTTCGTACGGTGAAAATGTGTCGTTCGAACCCGATCCGATCCGATCCGCGAACTTCTCTCGCGTGATATGATACCAATTTTTGGCCATAATGCAACCCAACATTCGTGTTCTCTCTCTTCTATCAGATTACTTGCAGATTGCAATCTTTACAAATTCGTTAAAAAAAAAACAAAAAAAAACAAAAAAAACAACGATTATTACTAGATTGCGAATGTTATGCGTTTGCAGCTCGTAGATATTTACAAAAAGCAGCACGAGTTTACGCGAAAGTAACGACTAAGCACGAGTACGAATGAATCATCGAGTTTACGCGAACGTAAGGACTAAGAACGAGTACGAATGAATCATAGTAGTAATTTTAGAAAAAAGCCGATGCGATAATTATTTTAGTCGCGACGCATTAAAGAAAAAAAAATCGATCCCTGATCGAACAATAGCTTGGTGAAAATGTGCTAAGCTTGCATAAAAGTGCACAACGCCGAGGAAATGGATATCGTTCTGCACTATAGCCAGAGAAGTATAGTCTGCGGCAGCCCCAGCCCCAGGAAAAGTATGAAACGAAACTGATCCACCGGCTAATCGAGAAATCTATCGCTCACTAAAGGATGGAAACGTACGCTTGCTACACATTCTCGTATATGTTTCCTTGAAACGAATTATCATCGACGAATTGTCCGCGGTCTGCCATACAACGTTTCTCTGAAAATTGTCTTTCTCGTATGGCAAGCCACGCACGTACATATGTATATATATATATATATATATATATATATATATATGCGTTTATATATATATATATAAATTGTATTCTTTTCAAATTAAAGCTACGATAGGTATACATATATATAATATATAGTATATAATATATATCTCTCTGTGTCAGTTTTACGTTGTCTATTATAGTAACTATGTACAAATATCTCTTACCATCGGCAACAGCAATAATAATTGTAAAACTCTCGTAATAAATTCTCCTTATAAATAGATAAATCCTTAAATATCGTTCAATCGATAAAAACTCTTGGAAAAATTCACCTAAAAACGATCGGTCCTACGCGATCCTCGACTAAGAAGCCAATGTAGACCGACCCGTCTCGCGGGACGTCGATCGCAGCGAGCGCCGATTCTTCGAAAATTCATCGAGAAAACGAACTCTCGTTCGCGTCGGAGACTCCGTCGCGTTTCGGTGCGGGAAGAAAATCGAATGAAAGCGAAAATGGGCTCTCGCGATGGTCCATGCAGCGAAAATCGAATGAAAAACGCTCGAACGGAGCCTGGTTCTTCGATCTGTGGTCCAGCGGAAGTCGAGACGGCCCTGTGGTCTCCCGTGGTTCTCGGAAACACCGTGGAGAAAATTATCGATTCGAAACGAATCGTCGGCTCTTGGGGGTCCAGGGGGAGAGAAGATCTCGTGAGGGGCCCGCGATCGTTTCGAGCCGCCCTTATTGTTCCTGGGGCACCTTCAGCAGCACCGTTCTGGTGCCCTCCGAGTCCGAGATGTTGATCTTCAGCTCGTTTGTCAGCGCCTCGAGCTTGTCCACCACTTTGCCGTTCTTCGACCCGCCGGGATTAGGCGGGGGCCACACGTCGTCCAACGGAGGCTCGATGTACTTCCGGTTTGATATGAAGATCATGCTCTCCTTTCTTCCGCAGAGCGTGCCCCCGACGTGATCGGACGACGAGACGCATTTCGGGGCCGGTTCCGTGTCCAGGCGAGGACGTTTGTAAAGGGGCGGCTGGATCACCGGGCTGTAATCGTGATCCAACAGTCCCTCCACCTCCTGCAGCAATTCCTCGCCGTATTGCTGCAGCTCCTCGTCCATCAGCTGCTTCGTGTAGAGTAGCGTTCGGGAGCGACCTGCAATCCCAATGAATTTCATCAGCATTTCTCGAGATCTTTAGCTTTGCGGCAAAATACGTATTTTTAGAGTTCTAGCAGACTTGAAAGGAATTTTAAATCTTTTCCATATTTTAGTTATATATGGTCGTACATATATTTATTATTACTATTATTACACACAATAATAATAATAATACTAAGCGAGTAAGACGTTACTATAAATGCGATAAAAAATGTCCCGCCGTTTCCTCCGAAATAGGGCAGCGAAGTTCTCCGTCCGGACGAAGGTTGTTGCGTCATCCACACGCACAAACGACATAACAGCCGAAGTGCGAAGAGCATATCAATTGGAATTATCACAGTGTCTAGATAAAAATAACGGAGAACTAAACAGGAATTCGAAGATGCCGATCGAAGGGAATCGTGAATCTCGCGCGGAAGTTGAACAGAAACGCGCGTTTTTTTCAGTTTTCATCGATCGAACTATCGATCGAGCTCACGCTAATCCAATTACGCTGCCGATCGGAACGGTCGAGCGTGAAAAATAGGCGAGATCGCAACGGCGATATTGTGCTCGAGGCAATTTCGACGGTGCAGTTATCATGTTTACGCGTTCGCTCTTATCGTCGGCACGAAGTAATTATCTCGGCTAGTGGTTACACCGTCGTTAATCGTTCTTCGGTGCACATACATAGTATGTATTTGCTCAGTCCTGATGCGGCTGCTCGGCGTGTTTCGTAACCGAGCCGGGAAACTGGTTACGAAGCGCTCCACGTACGCGCCACCGGTCCTAAACTCCTAACGTTTGAATTTTAATCAAGTTCAATGACACCTCGGGGTCCCTCGTGCCGTCTAAAACCTCGGGAACTGTTCGGTCAGGTATAATTCCCTAGCCGTAGGTGATTGGGTTACGTCAGGGAGAAGCATTCTCCGGCCGAACCTCGCGCGACGACCAATTAAAAACATTATTTTCCCGCTTTTACCTCGATCCTAATCGAATTGAGCTCGACGAAGAGCTTCGTTTGGCAATAGATTGAAATTTACGAGCGCTCGAGAACGCATACGATTATTAAATACTCAGGAAATTTAGCAATGAAAATAATTTCTTGTTTTCGTCGCGTACCTTCGATCCGATCGAATCGTAATCGACAGGAAACGCTGCTTGGGAATTAATCGATAGGAATTCGAATATTCTATCGAATATTGCTGGGATGATAAAAATATGAGTGCGCGTTAGATTACAGCGCTGGATAAACTGCACGCGAATCAATAACATTGTATGTAACGCTACAAGGAAAAGAAGCCTCATCGTCGATAAATTGCGGTCGACGAAACAACGCAAGGTTGCGTTTTATCGTCGGACACACCGAGGGTGCGTCCAAATTAATCGGTTGATAATGTTCGAGAAAGTGGACGAGATCGTCGAGATGGATCGCTGGATCGGCGGGAAAGGATCGGGAGCTTTCTTGCCCTCGTTTAGAAAGTAGCTGGGCAACTTCTGCTCGATCTCGCAGCCTGCTCCGGTTTCGACACGCCGCGCCGCGGTGTTTAATATCGGGCCCATAGCTATTTCGCTTTCGAAATATCCTGTACGTCTCGTTATCAGTACCCTATCGTAGCCATCTGATAAAATCGACGGGCAACGATCACGGGAACAGAGAGAGGTGCGACGCGAGTCGACGATCTCGAGGAATTAATTTCGATTACTTCTTCAGTGCTGATCGCGAAACTTCGATCCTCCGATTTGATGATTCGTAGAACCACGGAGAACAAGAATCAGTGTCGCAATCAGAAATCCCGCTGATATCGTATCGTTATTTTTTCCATGGCGCAATTCGTGCTCCAGCGATTAGCGGAATCCGCTGCGACACTATTTTCGAAAACCATCGAATGCTAATCGATCGTTTTCGCGTCGGCTAGGATTCTCCTAATATTCACAGCTTGCGGCTTGCCTTGGATTACGTTGGCGCTACTTGGAACTCTTTCATTTATTTATTTGTATTTTATATTGGCCGTCGATCGAGCCCGAAGCACGCTATCGTGAAAATAAGAAGGAACGAAGGAACAGCGTTTCCGCGTCGCGTCGTTCCACTTAAATATTTTAACGCAACAAACGGAGACGAACGAGAACGTCGTGTTATAAAAAAATGATCGAAATTAAGAGCTTACGGTTACGTAATCCGTTCACCTAACGTCACTCGATTATCTGGGGTTACCCAATCGCGACTCAAGATAATGAATACAACGTCGGCGTCGATCTGTTCGACGATCGCATCTTTCCATGTCGATGCTACTCTCTCCCACGTGTAGGCGAACAATTCCAAAATACCATGAATTCAACTGTGAAGTTCGCTATCAACGACGTGTCGAGGACACCCGGTTATCATCCTCCTACGCATTTACAGAAACCCAGCGACGAGTTATCGCTTCGAGTCTACGAGACATTTAAGCTTCGGTGCGAAACAATTACGGTCGATCACCTAAGTTCGAAACGACTCGGAAGCCAATGAGTCTCGTTATTAACGCCGCTGCGAAATTGATGACTGTCTTTATGCAAAATTATCGCGATCCATGCATCAACAACTGCGACCGCGTGAAACGTCGACACAGCACCTGGATTAAATTGCCAGCGTAGTTCCTAATTGCCGAGGCGTCGCGAAAATTTGATTCGCGAATTAAAAAATCGTCCCGCAAAAATGACAAAATGGTGGCTCGTCGTTTCGTTGCTGGCGCGGGTAAAAAGCCGCTCGACCGTGCGAGCAACGAGCGAGATCGAGAAGCAGCAAACCGCAGGACGTGAAAGCCAAAGCGAAACAGAAGAAAAAAGAAAGGAGCACTCTGCAGGGCTGTGCCTTTCACAATCCCGTGGGGTTCAATGTTCCAGGCCATGCCAGGGGAGCGCTATCAAACCCATTCAGCTCGCGTAACCGCTAATATAACGGTCCGAAAAGGTTCGGCGAGCTCGCGACACTCGTCGGGCTTCGGACAGCCTCGAGATTCTTTTGCTCCCTACAAAAATTATGCCGCTTCGCCTGATATTCGTCCGGCAATATTTTCTCTAACCCTCGAACGATAATCTGTTCTAGCACAGTTTTACAAACGAGCCTGAAGCTTTTCTTAGATCGCGAAACGTGGAGAAAAAGAAACTAAAATTAGCGCATCCGGAAACATATTAGCTCGGTTAGAAAATTTGTCCCCGTCAGCCCCCGTTCGAATCGCTATTCTATCCCCCCATGGATTTGCCATAACCAGAGAGATCGGAGATTCATTCTCGCTGTCTTGGTTCGGGAATAAAAATACCGTTGCATACGAAGAAGCGTTCCACTCACCAGCCAACGGTGGCATTTTCTCAGGCTGCTCCTGCTCCTTGGCGAGCTCGTTGCTGGAATTGGAGTGCGGTCGCAGATTCGGTACAGCGACCAGGGCCAACGAGAGCAACAAGACCATCAGACAGGTAGCAGGCTGCGCGCTCTTGTTGCCCTTTTGCAGCAACGCCTGCAGCCTCTTCAGCTGGCCGGCCAGGCTCTGGTTTTGCGACTGGAGCGCCTTGATCTTCTTCAGCAGGCTCATGTTCTCCTCGGTGCACTGCTTCACTCGATCCTCCAACCCGTCCACGTACTCCTTTTTCCTCTTCCGGGAGTCCTGGGCGGAGATTTTGTTGCGGATCTTGCGCCTGATCCTCTTCAGCTCGCGCTCCTCGTGCTTCGTCAGGGGATAATGCGAGGGCAACGTGATCCCCTCTTTCTGGAGCAAACGTTTCTCTTCCGCGTTCAGCTTCAGCCTTGGATAAGGGGAGTCGGACTCCGACACCTCGTCGCTGGAGTTGCAACCCTTCTCGCTGCTCGAGTCCTCTTGCTTGATGGTCATCTGCGCGAAACAAGAGCCCAAACATTTTAGCGAAATTCTCGCTTCGGAGGCATTCTGCTGACCGATCGTTAAATTGCGAGTCTTTACGCGGAATACGAATTTTCTACGTTATTTGTAAGATACTCTTATAGTACGATGAAAAAACAATACCACGATAAAATTATTATTTAAAAATTGTCTTAAGATCTCGGAGGCCCTAGTTCGCTAAGTAAAAGTTAGCAAAAGTTAGTGTTTCATTTGCGACATACTTGGACAGGTTTGTTGATGATGTTCGCCTGGTTGATCTTGAAGCCCTTCAGGTTCCTCGCCTGCGACGCGTTGATGATCTTGATAGTCCTCACGTCCTTCATGTCCTTGAGACTCACCGGCAACAGGATCGATCTCGGGTTCACAGAGCCCATCGGCGTCACGCGTATCAATTGTCTCATGTTTCGTTTCCCGTTGCTCGCGACGTTGCGCACATTTAGCGTGTTGTTCTCCTGCGGCGCGGCCAGTACCTGCTGCTGCGCTATTTTATCTAAAACGAAAACGTTCATCTCTGCAAGCTCCCTGGATCGTTAAATCCTCTCATCGTCCTATCGAACAACGACTCGTCGTTCCTCGTCTAAAAATAAAGGTCCCGCTCTGAAATGCTGATCGATTCCCCGATGAACTATTATCTCTTCGACCTTGAGCGAGTTCCAGTATCTACTATCTGCTCTATAATTTCCGATGTGTATGGAGAAATACGCGACATCTGTTCAAACGGCGTTCATCTGGCGAACGAACATTATCTCCGGTTCTAGCGGATAAACAAGCGCGACAGACCGAACAATATCTACGACTTCGAATTCCTTCAATAACCGCGGTGTTTCTATGCCGCGATGTACAGCGAAGCCACCCTAATTGACGCTTAGATTGTACACAAAAATGTGTACAGTTTGGGAAGAGAAGATACGATTATTATACAGCTCGTTCTTATAGTTGCCGATTGTCAACAATTATAAAAATGAGCCGTAAGACTTGAATAATCGTATTTGCTCTTCCCAAATTGGCCAATTTTGAGCGTCCTCGAATCACGGGATTCACGAAATCAATTTCATTCAGAATCGTAAACGTTCCGTCGAAATTCCAGCGTCCTAGTAAATTCGGTTCGAAGCGTTGCTTGTATTAAATCCAGCAAGCGAAACAACGTCAACCCGAAGAAGCAGGTCAACAAACCGCAACAATTGATGCGTAAGAAGTTGAGCGGACCTGATAAATGGCTGCCATGAAATCATCGAAGGCGTCACCCTCGCGAGAGTTAATAATCGTAAATCGTGCGAGTTCACCGCGCAGAAAATCATCGCCTCTAGCGCACCCTGTCTCCCAAACAATTCTATATAGTTCTACCAAAATCCTCGGTTACCTAAATCGACGGCCGGTGACTCCGCCACGATGGTCGCGCTGGCATCGGCCAAGGTGTTATTAGGGTTCACGACTGCCACCAAGGTGTGCTCCACGTCCATCTCTTCGGCAACGTCTGTCACGGGTGAGCCGATGTTGGAACTGACCACCGACCTGATCGGACTGTCCACACTGCCCACCGATTGGTTCGGACTGTCCAAAGACTCGAAGTCCATAAAGTTCTGTTCGTCCGGACTGTTCATCTCGGAGTTGCTGATCTCCACTTGATCCTCCTCGATGGGCAGCAAAGGGCTGAGCTGCTGCTCGCAGGAGAGGCTGAGCGCGCTCGACAGCCCGCTGTCCGAGGAAGAGGACGGAATCGTGTCCAGGTCGTTCTCGATCAGGTTGAACTGATTGTCCTCCAGCTTGAAGATGGAGTCCAGGAAGTCGTCGGGGTTCGACGGCCATTCTTCCGCCTTGAACATCAAACGGGGACCGCGTGCGATTATTTCTAGCCGCCTGGAAACCTGACCGCACGCTGTTCGGACAGTTTTCGCATTGCGGTCGCAAACAACGCGAAACAATGCGAAGTTCTGTACAACCGATATTTGATTTCTCTGTCTTCGCCGCGAGGTTGCAGTCATTATCTTACGGTTCGTTAAGAATTCATCGCGCCGTCCGTAGGCTCGCAAACAAGCGACCAGGCGTGCGGCGCAGGATAAATGTTAATTCGAGAATATTTCCCAGGTGACGCGCGAGGGGCCGCAGATTTCATCGGCGGCTGTTTTCCCGCAGGTTTTCCTGTCCGGCTCCGGCGTTATCGATCCAAAAGCATCGGCTTTGTTTCTCGATACCGAAACGGTCCCGATCGCGGCACCAACAATTCCCGTTGATGATCGCGTGCTCCACTTACATACGTACGTGTGCCGGTTGAAAGTCGGGCTAATCGACTTAGCGAAGCTTGAGAAATGGCCGCGAGCATGGTGCGAGCCGCGAACGCGAACGTTTGCCCAATGTCAGTTAACCCAGTTCCCGAGCTATGGTAAATATAGTTAAGCGATGATTCTCGAGCGGATTCGGGGATCCTGCGATTGTTGCGCGGCTCTCCGCGCAAAAAGACGAGAACGAGCACGACCCCGCGACTCCAATAATTACCAGGAGCTAGGAACAAACGAGCGCGTCGTGCCGAGAAGACCGCGACATTGTCCGAGATCCAGCAGCGAGGTCTCGGGACGAGGCACGAATTATGTTTTTTCCATACAGTTTAAAATGTACTAAAAATAAATCTGAGCTAACGCTTGGTAGTCGTGTATTTTTCCAAGCGCGAACAAGCTGCTTTTCGTGGATCAAACTCCAGCCGTCCGACGGTCTTCGCGATTTTATCATCGGGACAAAGTAAACATGCTTGGTCGATGTATTTTTAGAGGTTTTGCAGCACAATCTCTGAATTCCTTTGAATTTTCCATTTCGTCGGTCCGTAATATTTTTGAAAATGCTTGCGAGATATGTACATACATATTCTGTGGAGATCCGTGGAACTGCATATACAGTAATGTCTCTCTAATCGACGCTCGGATTGTCCACAAAAAATGGACAATTCGGGAAGAGGAGATACGATTAATTTGAGTGTTGCGCCTCGCTTTTATAATTACCGATTCTCAGCAACTATAAAAACGAGCTGCAAGGCTCGAATAATCGTATCTCCTCTTCCCGAATTGTCTATTTTTGTGCACAATCTGAGCGTCAATTAGGGAGACATTACTGTACATAGTTGCAGTATCGACTCGAGCGAGCAACTCTGAGCAAGCATGAGAACTGGTATGCGTCATAGTGTAATTATAAAGCGGGCTGTCTCCCGGACTCTTTTCGAATCCGACGAAAGTCCTCGTTTAGTCCCCCTGGGGAAAATGATTCAGAAATTTTCAAGACTAATCGCAGGGAGTCCCGTAAGATAACGGGACCCCGCGTTCGAAGGTCGCACGCCACGATGAGTAACTCTTCGCGTTCTCGGTCTGATTCGATACCCGAGGCCCCCTGTGCACCTTCGTCGCAGGTAACCAAATCGATTAACCTGGAGAACAATGCGGACTACATGTGTGTATCGCTCGACCATTGACCGTGGAAGGACGCAGGGTGCGATTCAACTTCGAGTCGCAGGGTGCAATTCGGTCGGATGCATTCGTGGAACGCGCGTCGTAAATCAAAGCGGAGCTAATAAGACTCGTCTCGAACCGGAGTTATACCGATGGTGTCCGGCGATGTGCTATCGGGGAATCCAAGATGGCGGCAATCGCAGCGCCGGCACGTGCATCCGACCATTCCATATGTTACAAAAACTAGACGAGACTGTGCGGTAATTACAGCTGTTCGAATTTAATTGCCGTCCGACGGCTCTTCCGGAGGAATCGTAAACAAAATTCACCGCAAGAAAAATACGTTCGCTCGGTGTTTTCAGTGACGGCCGCGGATAAAACGCTGCTCGTCCAACCGCGACGTTTTTTAAAAACGATTACGTACGTTAGTTCGCGATGATAATCGGGATTTTTCTAAACCGGACTCGTCCTTGTTGCGGCGATCATTGTTCTCCAAACGGGGACGGTGCAACGCGAGGCTCGCGGAGCCGTCGCCGTCGCCGTCAGCGTGCCGAGCGTGCACGCGCGGCGCACGTGGGTCGCACATACCATATGTTAACTCGAATAGCTGGAAACGCCGGAATCTAACGGGGCCTTTCGTCGAACAGAGATTGCTAATTGCCGGTGCTGATGTAAACATCCGGGGCGGTCCGAGAGGAATCGATTTCCGTTTCGTCGGCCGGCCAGGAATGTTTTCTTTTTTTGTAGCCATTAAACGGTTAATCGTTTGCAACGAAAGGAGACCGTGGAACGAGAATGGCAGATGCGACGAAAGTGGCACACGGGCCGGTGAAATGTGCCGCTGCCGGTTCGCGGATCGAACGTTCTCCGTCGCTGCCGCATTTTTTGGGACCGCGCGACACCTTTCTCATCCGTGCGAGATCCGGGAAGCAGGCTATCGGAATCGATAACAAGACCGCGAAGCGTTCTTTGCACCGTTCAAAAGCGATTGCGTAAAGCATGAGTCGTTTAAAAAGGTTTCGCCAGCCTTGGGTATTATTCCCGGTATTAGCATTCCGGATACCAGCCCTCTCTCTCTCTCTCTCTCTCTCTCTCTCTCTCGCTCTCCCCGCGAACTTCTAAAGTTTTCTCGGAGATCCATAAGAACGTCTTACATAAACGGGAAAGAAGCGTGCTCCAATATTCGGGGAAGTCGGAGGAGAATGGTATTAATACGCGAGTTACTCAATGGACCGATAATCCCGGACGGGAAGAAAAACTCGTCACGGTTCACAGGACGGTTCGTGACTCCGTCTGGATTGGCTTCTTTTAATAGAATCTTTCTCCCGAGGGGCGTGCGTGCGGAAAGAGAGGGAAATAGAAAGAGGATCGTGTCCTGCGTGTGTCTCACCGCGATGGCGTCGTCGCCGTAGCTCTGGTCTATGAACGGCTCGTCCTTAACGTCGCCTTTCAGGAACGACTCCTCCCTGGGGAACAGGAGGTCCATCAGGTTCATGTCCGTCGACGACATAATCCCGGCAGTTCTGTTTCAAGCACCGTGCGCGCGCGACAACACTGTAGCGTGTGGAGAACCGTGCACTCTACGCTCCCATGTAACACCTGAGCCACGCACCCACGCCTTCGCCGTGCCACTGCACCGACCAAAAGATGCACCTTTCGACAGACAGCGACGACGACACACAACACGCCAGTCCCGACTAACTAACAATAAGTAACGGAGCGAAGGAAAACCGCGGTCACGGACCGACCAACGGACGGACGCAGTTCGTTTCTGCTCTCTCGCCCCACCCTGAACAGAAGCCAGGCCGTACAGCGCACTGCACACGAAGAGAGGGACCGGTTTTCAGCTCGAGCCTGCTGGCGCAAGCATATTTCGAGCAACCCGGACCGGCATCGCTCGGCCACGACCCGCCCCGATCACTCTACCGTCCCCCCGACCCGTCCTCGCGCGCTGATACAGATTTTTCGGGGGCACTGCGTCTCGGTGCTCCGCGATCTGACAATCGCGAGTCTGTTTGTTTTCCGAGAACCGAGAATACTGAACCGCACTCGGCCCTAGACGATTGTCAATTGAACTGCCAGCTGCCAGCGTGGCAGTTAATGCGTCACACAGGCGCACCACCGACCCGAGTCGCGATTGGTCGAGAACACGCACGCAACGATACCTCGAGGAATCGAGACGCGACGCGACCCGCTTCAAACGCTCTTCTGGACTGACTGACGAAATCGTGGATCAATTTCGGCCGAGATTTCGCCGGTGCTCTCTCGCTCGAGCTCGAGAGGAAGAGACGCTGCGGAGAGACGGTTACAATTTGTCTGACGTTGATAACAGCACTGTTTACAACGAGATCAGCCTGTCTCTTCTGTATCGAGCGTGCTTGCTCGGTTTTGGCGCGGGATCTACGCTTTCTTTTTGGAAAAGATTGCTTGTATAGATGCTGTTCGATCTCTCTCGGGCTTACCGAAAAAATCTGTTGCTTTCGGGGTTAAAAATATTAAGGGCAAATATGATTTATAAACCTTATCATCCTGTCTCTTTTGCATCGAGCGTGCTTGCTCGGTTTTGACGCGGGATCTACGCTTTCTTTTTGGAAGAGATTGCTTGTACAGATGCTGTTCGATCTCTCTCGGGCTTACCGAAGAAATCTGTTGCTTTCGGGGTTAAAAATATTGAGGGGCAAATACGATTTATAAACCGTTCATGTAGATCGTTACTGCGATGCATCTATGCCATGTGCGCATTTATAAAACGCGACAATACCTATGTATGTACATGGCATATACTCCGTCACATCTGTAGTCTATTTTCATCGTAAAGACATGTATTTGGGGTCTTTCGGTGAAGTTCCAACGAACTTAAGAAAGTCGCATATTTTCGATTTACTATATACAGTAATGTCTCTCTAATTGACGCCCAGATTGCGCACAAAAATGGAGAATTTGGGAAGAGGAGGCACGATTATTCGAGCCTCGTGGTTTATTTTTATAGTTATAAATTGTTCACAATTATAAAAACGAGCCGCAAAGCTCGAATAATCGTATATCTCCTCTTCCCAAATTATCCAATTCAGTGGACAATCTGAGCGTCAGTAAGGGAGACATTACTGTATTCTGGTTTTGGCGTGGAGTTTCAACCAATTTTGGTACTCTCTTCGCTCGATTCTCCAGGTACGATCCGGTCACTACCAAGGCCCGACAAAATTCCGATGCTCATAATTCTTCCACTGTTGCAGCGAACACCTGATAGCTGGCCGGCCATTTACGATCAAGGGACTTTCGTACGGTACTTGGTACATTGTTCCTAGCAGACGTTGTTTTTGTCCTTGTCAGGAGGGATACTCTGTCCTTTACAGGGGCAGAATAAATAGACCCCCGAAAACGTTCGTTTCACCATTTGAGAAAATATCGTTCACGTTGCAACATCCGCGTCGCCCATACCAAATTTAAAATCTAATGGTGCCGTACGATTGTGTTTGGTTCGATAATATTACGAATAAACCTGTTTCAATTAAAGTAGAGAGAGAATAGGAGCCATAAGAAATCTGTGTCGTGTTTATTCTATTTTTATGGTAAGTATTGAGTCATAAGTGTTTCCGTGAAATCTCCGTAATTCGAAGGTACAAGAGGGTTTACTTTTGGTGTTAGTTAAGGTTGGAGCTTCGGCTTGATTATTCCCGCGGAAAAGTCGTCGTGGAATCCCTATTGTTTCCGAAATATTTTAGGGAGATTGTGAGGTAACCGTTATGTTTGCGTCGCGGACGTTGCATCAGATTAATCAATTCCGGCTGGCTGGTCGAAGTCGCGACGCATTCGGTACACATCAGTGAGTCATGGATATTCAGCTACGAAATATTATTCCATTATCCGCGACGGAAAATGACGCAGACTTCCTCCGAGCATTTTGTTACTGAATGATGTTTGCAACGGAGTTTACGAGCCCCATTGTTCCGCGAATCTTCGTCGCATTATCCTTTCGTTAAAATATGTATGGGAAATGCATAAGTGATCTGTAACCACGGGGTCTCATCGTAAACTGCATCGGCTTCAGTCCCATATTCGCCATCCGCTCCTTCTTCTACTTCCGCCCCGTGAATTCGTTTCCGTGACGGATGTAATGTCAAATAGACCGACGCTCTGTTTACCGAATTCAGGATTTCTGTAACAGAATTTTTTCGTAACCAATTAAATTGTATTTATACCACTCGATGAACTGAAAGAATATTGCAGGATGAAACAAAATGAGTAAAATCTCAGATTGAAAAGAATGTCGTAAGATTTTAAATAATGGTGCGTTCGCTAAAGTAATTAGGTACATACGTTTACATACTGCTGATAAAATATTCCGATTGCTATCAGGAGACCTACGAAAACCATGAAACTCCATCCTTGCCATAGAAATAAATCCAAGATACTGAAAGACGATTGTGGTGTTCTTCTCGCGCATACACCCATCTTTTTAAACAATCGGTGCCTTTAAGATTTCGGGAATAGTTTGCAGTTGATTTGAAATATTTAATTGGTGCGAATTAAAAGGAAAAATGCTTCACTTGCACGACGTAGATAATCATGATAAGTTGCTGATATTAGTTGTTCGTTTGACTCTTGGATGGTCCGGAGGGTGAGTTCGAGTTAGGGGATGCATAACGGTGACAACATCTTGTATGGGTGGTTTAGTGGCCAGAGACGATGGATTTTGGTGGGACAGGCTTGGTTGGTGTTGAACAAACAATTGATAATATGACGTTTTGAACACTGGACGGGACTGTAGGCTTTTCGGATCGATCGTTCGTTTCTTGTCCGCCGAATAGCGTCGCAGCGTGAATTGCCATTGCCCTTAGCAGCCTAACAAGCTAACAGTTACACTATGGCGGCGATCATGGCGGCTGTGGTTAGGTTACGTTCTGATTATCGAATGAAAATATGCCAGTTATAGTAATTTATTAAGTAAATGAATTTTATGAAATGAGGTAGGTAGACTACTCGCGAGAGCAATCAAATTTTTTAACTTAATTTCAAGCTTCACTTTAATATAGATACAGATTATACTTATTATATCTTCACAGGTTTATATATTGTTATATTTAATATTGTTTTGTGTTATGACAATCTATATAAAAAGATATATTTTTTTGTGATGTGTGCAGTATCTAGACTCTAAAAATGAAGTGTGCAATTCGCCTATTTTAATAATCATAGAATGCATCTGTTGCACTTCAATTGAAATCATATATTATAATTTTTTATGGTGATTAATATTATTGCAGACGTAATTCGCGGGGACGAAATTATGTGTAATCTTCTGGCATTAGTTATGGAGACTAAAGTTACTAGTAAAACCAGCAGCTTGAAGGCTCTTTTGTTACGGGCATGGAGAGAACGCTGGAGTGATCTGCAATGGGGTATTAATATTAAAACAGTAAGTTTAACTTAATTGTAATTAATTTAATTCAAGAGCGTAAGGCCTACAAAATAATTTTCCCTTGCAGATATTACCACGAGGTGTCAGTGGAGATGTATATAATTTAGCAGACTGTATATTGCAACAGGCATTAGTAGGACTTGGTCCCAATCAGTTAGTTTTATCTTACTTGAAACATTCATTGAGCTCTCAGGTATGAATTAATTCTATATCACACTGTTACAATATTATCAAATATATCCGCTAAGTCAAATGTTTTTCCAGTTGGTCTCCTACGCTGCTGTGTTGCAACGAATTAGCAAATACGACGCGTTTCACAAGCCCCACTGCATCTTAAGTTTACTAGAATTTCTAGAATCTATCCAAATAGGTATAACATGTCGTGGCAAACCGGAGGAAGACCTCTTGGCAGCTGCTGTGCTGTCTATCGTGCATTGGCTGTTGCAGTGCTACCTTCATACTTTAACCAAAATGCCACAGAACAGTCCATTGACACCGCAGCCCACCGAACTGATGGACAAACCTGCCAGTATATTGAAACAGATGCTCAGTTCGGACTTTCTTTGCGCAATGATGTACTTAGCCAAATACGATGACAAAGGTAATAGCTAAATTGACTGAAAAATGTTGACTCGAAGCATCTCCCACCTCTCCGACACCGAACTTCCTTTTCAGATTTGTACATAGATGTCGTGAAGAAGTGCCAGGAGATCGAGGCTCTGTTAAAAACAAGCAGCCTGAAGTCCTCGGTGCCTATCGAGGATTCGCTGAAGAAGTTGTGCAATCTAGAAGTAGAGTGCCTGGCACTCTCCCCCGAGATGACCCAAATGGAGTCGATCACACACTGTTTACAACCGTTGTTCGCGGTACAAGTGCTGTTGAATCCGAGCACGGAGACGACAGTCTTTGTTAACCAGTTGTTGATGGTGCAGAGACTAAAGAATTACTCGAACGCTCGATTGTACTGCGAGATAATTCGCGCTTGCTTGATGTGTCTGCATAATGTCACGGCGACGTTCAAAGAGTCCCAATGGGGTGCGATGACGTTCCTTAAGGCCCCCTTGATCTTGAAAGAACTGCACGTTGCTCACTCGAATGGCGACGACAAATCGGAATACTCTCAGGACATCTTGGACGCTTTTGAGCTGCTTCTGCAGTTCACGCCTCTCCTAGACATAATGGACACTGCATGCTCCTGCAACAGCGTCGAGTGTCTCTTAAACGCCCTTCAGAAAGTCAGCCTGGTAACCGAGAAGCAGGCGAAGCAGCTGAGTAGTAGAAGGGAAGGTGTCACCGCCACCTTGCAAAAATTAGAATCTTCAACCTCCACTCCCTCGATTCCAAAGGTGATCGTCAGAGCTGAACCGACGCTTTCCGGGATCTTGAAGACCTTGAACGCGGACTACTTGAAGATCCACGAAGCGTTGCTGAGTATGCTCTACCAGGTGCTCACTGGAAAAAGCTTCGAATTGATGCTGGCCGTGGCGACCGTCGAGGGCAAGCTGAAGACCTTTGTAACCAAACTGATCAAGTTCAACGAGTGCAGCAAACAGATCAACGAACCCGTTCCACCGAAAACGGCAGCTACCAGAGCGATGCTCTTCGAAGTGTCGTTTCTGATGCTGTGCTCCATAGTGCAGACTTACGGCTCCGATGCAGTCCTCGAAGAAGGTGGCGGGGACTCTTTCTTTGAACAGTGGGTGCGCGAATGTATGCCGGAACGCAATCAACCAAAGTCGCCTCAGAAAATGTTACAGAACATCGACCCCGCAAGAGTGGATGCTCTTTTAGCGCAAATTAATTCCCCGGACTCGGACTTCAAATCTAGCAATATTAAATGGCATATCGCGTGTCAATCGGCCATGGGCGCTGTTAAGGAACTTCTCTGTGCCTGGGAGAGCGATGTCCTAGGAGCTGGAGATGTGAAAAGAGCTTTGGATGGATTAAGAGCCACCGCTTGTTGTTTGCCAGTTTGTGCAGCGGCTTGGCTCTGTGCTTACATGAGCATCACTCATCAGGACGCTCTTCTGAAGCCCATGAACATGGTGCAGCACTTTTTGACGCCCTTACCTGGCGACGAGATGCAGGATAATCTGAAGGAACGGTCGAGCTTGATGTTCCAGATCATTAGGAAGATGCAGTACGACGTGCATCCACCTACTCAGTCGAAAAACAAGGTCCTTTCGATGTCTCACAGGTAGCTAATTCACCTCCCTTATAATACTTTTATAAACGTTTCTAAGGAATTTACGAGGTACAAATTTTAATTTCTTCAGCATCATATCGAGGCAACCGATCCTCGAACAATTGGAAACAGTGTGGAGAAACATCAATCAACGAGGCTGGATAAACATTCAAGCGACGCAGTCCTTGGAGTCCTTGTTGAACACTGGAGGCTCGCTATGGTTCGTTTCGAATATAGTGAAGGAGGTGCTGAAGTATCGTTACCAGCAGGAACTTGATCAGGCCGTGGACCTAGCGTTCGCCATTTTTCACCTTGACATTGAGAACTGTACATTAGATCTCATTAACCATATCATTCCACAGTATTTATATAACTCATTACAGTAAGTCGCGATTCTCGGCGCTGACAAATTCATTCAATTCAGTTTGGTTAATCAAATACTGACTCGAAATTTCTTTCAGAAGCGAAGAACTCGTAGAGCCACAGTCCTCCGTTTTAGCGAAGCTGTGCGTATACTGTATATTTTCTACCCTAGAGTATAACAATTCGAATCCATATCGCGGCAACAATAGGAAGCGCGTGCGACGAGATTTAGATGCCGAGGAGTTGGACGCTCTCGGCGTGCCAAATAAAATTCTGCGACTGAACGAAGCGGGGGATTCGAATCCTATCTTCGGATCGCAGAGCCCTCAGGCCCAGGGACCCACTAACGGTCAAAAATCGGTCGTGTTGAGGGATCCTCTGCTGACTTCGCTAAACGGATTGTTCACAATTTTCACTTTTTTGGCTGGTAGAGACGGCGAGGTTTCCCAACAGACTCATTTCATACTTCAGTTCCTTCGTCTGATGGTACAATGCGGCAAAGACAGAACTCGCATCGTCCTGCAGGGAATGCCACAAACACTGGTGAGTGCAACTCGGAGCCTGTTTATAGTACATTAGTAGTTCGATCGAAAGGCGAGATGTTGAATTTTCGGAGGATTTTAGGTACCATGTCTACTGAAAGCACTGCCAGAATTATTCACGACTGATATATTGTTACGATTTTACGACATCCAGACTGCAGTTGGACGCAAGGCCACCGCGCGAGATTTGTGTATGCTCAGAAATATCACTTTGAAGCCGACGAAGTAGACGACGAGAACGTTTTTTTACAGAAGCGATAAGTATGGTTGATAGTGAGACGTCGACTCATATTATTATTTTAAAATATACGAATTTAATATGGCTATTGCGTTTTATGCTTCCTTCCAAGCATATCCCCCTCTTCTCCACTCCGGATACACATTAAAACCACTGAATTAGAAAAGGTGTTATTGTTTCGGACACTTTATTCCATCCTTTCTTCTCGTCCTTGCGGATTTATAAACAGATCTATAAATAACTCTTATATTTAAAATTATGTACAGTAAATGATACACGTAGTATTCCCGGGGATAGACGAGAATTTGTACACGATATATAAACACGTGGGTAAATGAAAGTCGCAAACTATTCCGTTCGCTAAAGTTACAAAAGAAAACGCACCTTGTAAGTAACACCTTACGTGACTACGTAATATTTACATGAAACAGGGACGTTCCGACAAAGAGTACCGACCAATCGCTTCTCCCCGATTTGATTAGCGAGACACGTTCGATAAATATCGGGATATAGTAGATTGGACAACACTCCCTGTTCGTTGAAAGGAAAAGGATAACGAACGACTCAAGAGATCCGTAAGCCGGGAGCATCGATGAACTCAGACGGTTTGGCGCGGAATTCAAAACGAAAGCAAGGAAAGAGATACAAAGACTGCACAAAAGGTGGAGAACCGTTCAAGCTGATCGACGTTTCCAGCGATTGTTCGTAATGGAAGCACGTTTAGGCCAGCCGTAGAAGTTGTTCTACAGCCACGGGTGCCAAGATGGATCCATCCTGCACAGATTGTCGTGGCTGTTCGCCGCAGCAACCAGCGTGCTGACTTTGCTGTCGGTCCCATCGAAATTGGCTAGAGAGTTTAACCTAGAGACGATCGCCGTGACCGCGCGTGTCACCATAGTAATTAGAAGTTCGCCTTTCATGTCCGTCGGTGTTTGGGACGCGTTTTCAGCATCCTCTTGTTTCTTGTTGTGATCCGCGATCACCTCGTCGCGTAAGATCGCACGAAGAATCGTGTGTACTTTGAAGGATGGCTGCACTAGACAGCGCGCCGTGGCGATCGCACTCGCTGTCAGAGGCCCGGAGACACCTGGAGAAAATCCCCGTTTAGTTTTACGCGCGCAAAATTACGTACAAGGTTTCGCCGATCGATCACGAACCTGTGCTAGTCAGGAACTCGAGGATATTCGGCGTGAGCCGGAACGGAACAGGTCTGTTGGCGTCCAGTTCGCCAGAGGTGTCGTCGACGTCGAATTTGAAGTAGGCGATGTTTATCAGTCCGGAATCCTGATGCACGTACATCATGTCGGGATTCAACCTCGTCAGGTGAAGCACGTACTCCGCGAAGCAGGCCAAAGATAATTGTAACGTGAACTGCAAATAAAAAAGGAAACATCGAAGACGCGACAGAGAAAAATTGGATGACCAAAATGGTCTTTCGCTTCGTTACCATTTTTCTAAAGGTCCAGTAATCCGTGGCTCCCGGGAAAGTCTTCACCGCCCAGTCCTTCAGCATCGTCCTAGCAACCATGCTCGTCTGCACCTCCTTCAAAATATCCCTGAGAACTTGATGACTCGCTTGCGCTCCTCTCGCCTGCACAGCAGCCAACCTTTCGTAATACCTAGCTATAGGAGCGTCGTGCTCTATTCCTAGTTTTGCACAGCCTTGTTTATAAATGTCCAGTAAAGAAACCGAAGCAGGATTATCTTCGACTAGTCTCATCTGCGGGGAAACCGCGACAACTCGCGGCACCGTGAAGTGCAAGAACCTCCTGGAGGTCTCCTTCTGTTTTGCTAGGTAGTGATTCAACATCCTCAGCAGTTGAAGAACGCGTTCCTCGCGTCTAGCATCCCCTAACCCGGCGTCGTTCACAACCAAATAAGGGTAGAGGCGACCGTTGTGTCCTCTGATGCGCAATCTTCTGGCTGCTGTGTTGTGTCGTTGGACGACTTCGACTCTGGGCATGAACCTGGCTATCCTGACGTAATAGTGGGAGTGTTTCGGTAGCAGGAATTCGCCGGGAAGTTCCACCTCCGCGGTCTTCAGGCTGAAGTTGCTGAGAAATCTGCATTTCTCTTCGATGAGGAAGGACCTGGTCAAATTATGTATCGTTGCAGCGATTGTACTTTGCAGAACGTTGAGATTCGATCACTGGGATACTCACTTGGGCAGCTGCTTGGTCTTGCCTTCGAGAATCTTGATCCACTTCTTCAGCTTGCTGATGAGATTGTGCAGCAGCCTGGCCTCGGGCACGGTAAAGTCGAAGTCGCTAGTGAATTGACCTTTCATTTTCTGGAAAACGGGATCCTGGACGGTGGCTTGTGCCCTGCGCGCCAACGACTCTGAAGCCGCTGAGCCAAATGTGTTGTTCACGTTTTGAGATGGGGATATGTTTTCTACGGTTTACAGGAAGAAGTCCGTAAGAACTCGTCTCTGTCAGGGTGGGAGGTCGATCGAGGACTCACCTATTCCAATTCCGAACGTCGAGACCAGCTTCTTCACGAAGTTCAGCGTGTGGGGAGTGATGGTAGCCTCGCTGACAGCCCCGCGATTTTCGAAGGCTATCGCGTAACACTTGGCCAGGCCCTGTCTCAATTGTCTGAGAACCTCCTCGTACCAGGTCTCCCGGAACCACACCATCTGGAACACAATTAAATCGTGTCACTTCTATATGCTCCGAATGCACGAAAAAACCACAATCAAATAAAATAAAATAAAATAAAGATGAACCTGATCCACGATTCCCTCCAAGCTGGACAGAATGGTCGGGTGAATGTCCCGCTGCATGTGCATGATCTTCGAACACCTCCACATGGGCGGCGTGGCTCGAATAGGTCCGGTTTCCGGCACTCCCTGTTGCTGAACGTTTCCACCTGCTCCACGACCCTCGACACCTTCCTGGTTCTTTCCTGCAGCCAGTTCCGCGCTCTTGTATCTTTCCCTCTGCTCTATCTTCAGGGTCAGGTACAGAGTCCTGATCGAAAAATACACCGCTTGCGGGAATACTCTTCCAACTTGACTAAGTAGATTCAGAATGACGTTGCCCTCGTGTCGCACCAAACACATCAGAAGTTGAGGTATCCAAGGTAGCCATTGAATAGGAGGAACCCCAACGGCGTACTTATCCACAGCCTCCATCAAGGAGAACTTGTCGTCGTCGTAAGTCAAAAGCCACAAGACCTTGGCGAGGTACTTTCTAGACTTGGACTCGTTTTGGTGTCTGCAGGCGTGGAGGAAGCAAGTGATCGCCGAGATCCCTATCGAGATCTGACGAGCATCTCTGGTGAATATATGCTCCAGATAGTCTCCCCATAGAGCCCACGCCTTGACCAAGGTGTCGTGCAGTTGTACAGCAGCGGAGAATGCTTTGTTAGCGTCGTCCGACCTCCCGATTTGCGACAACAGCATTCCCTTCAGGGCGTAAAACTCAGCGGTCATCTCCTTGGTGAAGTACCTGAGGTTCGTGGACTCGATCACCTCCAGGCCCTCCTGCAGCTCGTTCTTCCCGCTCACAGAGGCCATCTGCAGGTAGCACTTCACCTGCTGCCTGATCTTCTGGAAGCAATCGACAATAGGAACGCTGGGGATCGTGTAGATCCTCGACAAAGAATCCAAGCAGACGCCGCAGAGATTGTGCTTCCTCGCGATCTTGCCGAAGTGGATGATCGCCTGCACCGATGCGTGCACGCCCAGCATGGAATGATTGGTCGTCTGGTCTTGCTGAGAATCATAGTGGCTCGAAATGAAAGTATAGTGATGCTGCCGCCAGGTGAAGATGTCTGACCAGTGGCTAAGATCGTCGGCTATCACAGGAAGCCGGTTCCTCCAGGTCTTTACGATAGCCTTCATATCGTGCAGCGACGTGCTCCTGCCGTGCAACAGGCCCTGATGGATCTGCATCGCTTCTTGCAGTTCCATGATCTGCTGCGCGGCCTGCAGCAACGGCAGGTGCACGTGACTGACGATGTGAGGCAACCTGCGCCATTCGCGCATGCACAGACCTGATGCAAGCTCCACATAGCGTTCCACCGCGTTCAGGTGCTGATCCTCGCTGTTGCAGATCGCCAGGAAACCTCGGTACAAGTTCACCTGGAAAGAGGAAGACTCGGAATACCGATCCGCAGGGTACATCGGAGACATAAACGTCCGGGGACAGTCGTTTACCTTCCAAGCCATCTCCTTGGGACAATTGTGCTCCACCTGGGCCAGAGCTTCCTTCATCATCGTCCAGTTTGGAATACGCCAAGAGCTCTCCAGAATCAAGAACGGGTTCTTCTCCGCTTTCTTGCTGCCATAGTCCAACAATAGATCCCACTGATTCAGCTCCTTCGCGCATCTGATCCAGTGTTGCTCCCAGAGCATAGCCTCTCTCTGGATCTTGAAAGGAGCAGGAGTCGAAACGTAGTCCTGCTTGAACTTCGTCATGGCTACGTCGTACGCTCCCTGAGCTTGCTCGAAGAAGCCTTGTTGCTCGAGCGCGGTAGCTTGAAGAGTCTCCTTATAATGCGCATGCTTCTGCCAGAGTCCGGACCACATGTCCTCTTCGCAGAGCAACGAGTACATGTCCGACAAAGAGTCCAGAATCTCGGCGTGAGGACTATTGTCAGGCTCGAAGTCGTAACAGTCCGATTCTCTCTTGATCTTAAATTGATTGTTGCCGTTGTCGAACGCCATCTGTTCCAAGCTCAGCGTCATCCTGTGCCAGAGATTGTGGGATCTGCCCAGGTACTTCATCAAGGCCGGTCTCATGGGCACCGGAGGATTGCAGTGAGCGATCGCTTCGACGAACGTCGCGATCGCGCTCGGATGACAGTCCTTCTGAATGACGTGCGTGCCGCTGCAAATGAACGGCACCACTTCGGCAATCAGTGTGCTGTGCTGATGTTCGTCGAGGATCCCCCAGATTCTCGGGAAGGTGTCCAGCCAGACACGCTCCGCCAGATTGGTGTCCATGTGGCAAAGCTGCGCCGCGGCCAACAAAAGCTGCTCCGTTCTGATCTTCTTCGCATGCTCGATGAACTCGCCCTGCTTCGCGATTAGCTGCGTCAAGGTCGTCCTCCCCGTGGTAGCGATCTCTTCGGGGACTGTCGTGGAGTCTACGTTAGCCAAATCCATGTCCAGTATATCGTCCTTCACGTCAGCCGTGTCGGAAATGTCCTGCGGTTCCTCCTTGATCGAGCTGTAGATCATGAAATTCTTGTGCTCCTCGCTGTCCGTCATGTTTATCACGGACGTCACGCTGGGCAGCAACGTGTCCTGATTAGACATCTGAATCTGAGTGGTAGAGTTCGAGGTGACCAACAACAACTCTATACACTGTTTGATCCAGTAATGTGGTCCGATCGCGTCCCAGCTTTGACTGCAAATAATGTACAAAAGCCTGTCGTGCAGCCGCCTCCTCATGGACCCGTCGAACACCTCGAAGAACTTCGCTCGAATCTGGGGTTGAATACATCGTAGACCGGATAAAAACGCTGGCTCTAATTTCGAAGTCAGTTCCGACGATTTCAAGGCTTCGTCTCGGTAGATGAAATTGACGAGCTCCAGGAACTGTCGGTTCAATTCCAAATCATCGGGAAACCGTTTTTCCACGTACTGCATCATCTTCACCAACAAAATCGACTTCTCGCGCAAGCTGGGTGCTTGGTTCATAGCTATGGGGTTCTTATTCTTCATCCACTCCTCCAGCATCTTCGTGATGGCCTTCATCACTTTGATATCCTGCGTCTTCTCGATCAGACCGACTAGAATCGAGCCGATGAACGATTTCCTCATTTCTACGCCCATCACCATCACTCGATTCTTTACCAGGTCCAAGCTGAGGATTAATAATTCGCTTCCAACAGGATTCGCCTCTGCCTGAGTCGAGTGCAGGTGATCCTTGGCCATTCTGTGAAGGACCCTCATGAAGGGAGTTATCAGTCGATCGATGTAGCTCTGATTATTCGTGCAGGCCGCCTTCAGCATCATCAGGGTACCGAACAGCGTGCTGGGAGTAGCTGCCGTATTTTTCTCGTAGGTCGCCAGACCGTCCACGATGAATTTGCCAACGGTGGTGTATAAAGTGTCCAGCTCTTCGTATTTCGACGCCACTGTTGAGGAAGTCGGCTCTGCTGGGAAAATGGTCATCAGTCTCGATAACAGACCATGAACCAGTCTAATCACTTTCGTGTTGCTGCTCGCGATACAAGCCCCGATGCCTCTTTGCAGAGACTTGAAGCTTGCGAGTATCTGCTCTCTCTTCATCACACCCAGCAAGAAGGTGAGCACTTCCAAAGCTGTGCAAATGTTTCCAAAAATTGGCTGAGTGCTGTCGACGCTGGCAAGGACCTTGTCCAGCCAAGCGAGCTTCAAATCGCAGGACTGGGGCCAGACGTCCGGCTTCAGGGCCATCTTCAGCAAGGCCACGCAGCGTCTAGAAAGCTGTTCGCCAGGATTTCCATGAATGGTAGTGACGTCGTTCACCTGACAGGCCAGACGGAGCAGGAAATTGAGAATTGCGTCGGCGTGTGCCCTCTCGATCGGCTTTGTAGATCCGGGCTCTATTCTAGGCAGGATCACAGGAACGGTAGCGTTTCCTGTGGCCGCCTGAGTGGTCATCCGCTTGGTCCCCGCAGGATCATCGTTCATAGGTCTTTTCAACGAACCTTGGGCCCCTCTAGTGCCACCGGATTCGGCACTCTCAGCCTCGTCCTTGATCCTGTGCAGCTCCCATTTGATAATAACCTCTGCCAACTCGACAGCCAATCTCCGGTGCTCGATGGTAGCAGTGGGACTGAATCCTAGCCTCTGGATAGAATTCACAATGTGCTGGACCAGGTGGTGTCTCACTGGATAGTACACTTTGTAGTGTCTGACCACCAATTGGAGGATGTGAAATAGCTGCTGCATAGAGTGACCTTCCTCTACGATGATCTTTTTGGTCCAGTGTGTCAACATCGTGTTACCATCTTCCATTCTGACTGGCATCGCAGGAGTCAGGATTTCTAGAGCCTGTCTCACCACGTTTCGAGCATCTAAGGCGTGTGCTTTTAATAGGCTATGGAAAACCTGAAGAACTATTCGTTTATGGATGGCGAATTTAGCGATTATGTGGCTCAAGAGTAAATGGCCGTGGTATCTGGTCGTTGGGTCGACGCAGTTCTTGCCCAGGAGACACGGCCACGCGAAGGTCATCAGTCGTCGGAGCTTGTTACCCTGCCTCTTATTGGTGACATCGTGAATGTGCTGAGAAGCTTGCTCGACTAGGAGACAAGAGAATTGAAGCAAGGAAATGCGAACGCAGTCGGCGGATCCGAAGGGATTGTCGGGATCTATGATCTTGCTGATAAATACCGACACGACGTTCTCTGGATTATCTTGATAAGGCATCGGCGCTCCTCCAACTAACTTAGTACCCTCTCCTCTCTCGAAGCTCACGGCAAAGCAGGGGATGATGATCAATTGGAGAACGTTGGCCTTCAACTCTTGGAATAAATTGTTCGTGGGGAAATGTTCGACGAATTTGAAGAACGCGCTGCGCTTCCACTCGACCGTGTACTCCTGAGCCACAGTGTGCTCCAAGAAGTCCCTCAAGAACTGGAAATCGGGGATGAACCTGTCACAGGTGGCCCTTAGCAGCTGGAAGAGCAGGTCGATGTCCTTGGAATGGTGGCGAAAATAATGCAGCAAGATCTTGACTATCAACTTCGGCTCCTTCCAGTGGCAATAGTCCACGCTTTCGACTTTCTTGTGCAGAGCTTGATACTCGTCGTTGCACCAAATCTGCTTCAAAGCACCGACCAGCTGAGTCTGCGTCGACAACCATTGCTCGTCGAATTTAATTAGAACCGCGATGATCTTGATCGCCTGATGCTGAAGCTCGCTCTTCTCGGTGTGAGTCAGATTCGAGTTGGTCTGTGAGTGAGCGAGCAGCATCGTTATCAATCTAGCAGTGCTGTTGTGCAGCACATCGCGGAACGGTTTCCCATCCTTCTGCTTGATGAGAAATTCCAGGTACTTGCTCCACTGCTGGTCCTTGATGTTATTGTCGTGCAAAAATAAATTCAGCGTCTCGGTAGGGTAGCGCAGCAAGAACTTCATCAAAGGAATCCGGAATGGACTGGAGACCTCGACCATCAGCGACTTTTCCGTCTGTAGAACGAGCCTGCACAGTACGTCGATGAACTTCGGAGTAGCTGCTGGAATCTCGTGGAAGATGCCTATGATCGTGGCTATCTTCTGCTCGTTCTCTCCGGACTTCGATATCCCCTTGTGCGCCTGTATCAAGTTCTCCAAGAGCTTCTTCAAATGCTGCAGCAGCTGCTCGCAGAGAGTGATACTGAAGGTGCTGGGGAACAGTTGCGTCAGGTACGAGAGCCTCTTCACACAGTTGAGGCTCAGGTTCCTGTGGTCACCCAAAGTCAGTAGCATCGGTCGCATGATAGTGTGAACGGACTCCATGTCAATCTGGAATCCAGCGATGAATTTCTGCATGCACTCGAAAGCTGCCTCCTGCAGCTCGGCGTTCGGTTTCTCGAGAGCCTTGTACAGGACCCCGAAGATCTTCTCCCTGCAAGCTACTATGTAATGACAAGCAGCGAGAGCTCTCAATGCTGACTTCCGAAGTGGGATGAGGTTCGACACCGATTTGTAGCAAGGTAGCTTGTTCAAATTCGCATCCTCCGCTTCGCTGAGGGCTAGCAGCTCCTGAAAGAACACCTTGTGCTCCATTACGGTTAGATCGATCGTGAAGAGACGAGGATTCAGCGTCGTGCAGAAGGTATTTCCGTCCATCAGACCGATCTGAGCGTTAGCAGGCTGGTGTCTCAGTAAATGCTTCTTAGGTGGGATCATGTCCGCTAAAACTTCCTTATGTGGCTCCATTACCTCTGTCACTGTTTTATTCTGAATCTCTGCTAGCAGACGCAAAGATGCCATAGCCTGTTCCCTCACTAAGGTGTGCGGAGATGTTACCTGCCTCACCAGCTCGTGAGTGACGTCGTAGAGGCTCTTGTTCTGCGCTTCTATCAGCTCGGTGTTTCCATCTTGGATCCCAGGGTTCACGCAAACTCGCAGCATCTTCTCCAGGTTGGCCTTGGCCATATCTATAGCTCCATTGGATACTTCCTCCGTTAGGTCCATCATTACGAACATCAAGGCTTTCAAGAATACGAACAGATGGTTCAACACCCATTTGGTTGCCATCCTCTCGAAAAGAAACTTGATGGCTATGCAGCCACCCAGTTTCGCGTACCAGGCTCTCTCGTAACAGAGAGAACACATCTTCTCTGCCAGGTACTCCATCAGCGGTAATTGACAAGCTCTCTCCTTCGATCCCAGAATGTTGGTAGCAGTCTCCAGGATCAGAACCAGAGCGAGGTGACCAGATTTATACAACTCCTTCTCTTCGTGACCCATAATCACCGCCAAAGCGTCGATCAAGACCAGAGGATCCTGACCCTGCATACGAACTTGTCTCCCGGTCAAACAAAACGGCCCAGCCTGCTGAGCGATCGCTACCATCGTATAATGTCTCACGATCGACACAACGGTACCCAGCACAGAGTGTCTCAATTCTTTGATCTCCGCGGCTACGAAGAGTCCCGTCAGCGCTGTCTGCTGCACGTTCCTCGCTACAGCGTCGGGACATTTGTAATGAGGGCCCTGTTGATGAGGAATCTTGCTTTCCTTGAAGCTGGGGTGCATGAAGAGTTTGTACAGTATCCCGTTGTTGTCGTCCAGTCTCAAAGAAGCTGCCAAGTAACAGCTGATCACTTCCCAGCACTGTCTACGGTAGAAGGAATCGGTGTTGTTGGACTTCAGGGCGTTGAACGCAGTCTCTATCACTTTCTCTACAGTGAAATCGATGGGCTTGGTAGGTTCCTGGAAGTAGACGACGATCGCAGGCGAGTTGGTCTCGCGGTCGTTGTACTCCAGCTTCTGGGGTTCGATCATCATCTTTCTATTCCCCCCTCCGAATTTTCCTAAGACCCGGAAGGCTACGTGAGCTTGATCGGTTGGATTGTGCAGGGTTCTCCAAAGAGCCTGCATCAGGTCTGCTCGGACAGGTTGAATGTGCTCGTAGAGAAAATCAGGTTGGAGGTTGTCGACGCAGAGCTCCAGAGTCCGCAACCCTTGGCTGACCAGACCGTAGCTGCCGTTCAGGGCTGAGACAAGGGGGTCCATCAGCATCGGTAAATAAGGCAAGAGGGAGCTGAGCCTCACTGGGACGGTAAGGCACAATTCGACGAAGAGATCCTTCATGTGCTGCCTGTGCAGACCGGACTGCAGTCTGTTCAAGCCTTCCAACATGTTCGGCAGCAGAGGCAAGAACTCTTGATAGAGGAGATCGTGGGATCCACCGCCGATAGATCTGAACAAAGCTCGTAACAATAGGAAATAATTGTAGGGTTCTTTCGCGGACATGGCGAGCTCGATCGCCCGATTGACTATCTGGTTCAGGTGGGGCCTCAGCATGTGCTCGTTCTCAGCGGGGAACAGAGACACGCTGCCGAAGACCAACTTGAAGAGTCTCAAATACAAGTTGCTCCTCTCCACGTTGGAGCCCATGTCCCCCATTCGTTCCAGCAGGTACTCCACTAGAATGGTCGCGAAGGTCGAGGATATAGTCGGGCTAGATAGAAAGGCGCTACCGATGATCTGCAGCGCGCAGTTCTTGAAGATCCTCTCGACCATGTAGTCGATGGACGTGGAGAAGATCTCTTGGAACGTCTGAGGGTTCATCTGAGTGAACACGTTTCCGAAAAGCTCCAGAACCTCTTTCTCCTCGCGAGTGCGAATGGTCTGAGATTGAGCGGGTCTTCCTGGCTGAGCGATGGCTCCAATCGTTGGCGGACCTATGGTGTATATATCCAGCGCAGGGAGAGCCCACTTCACTAATTTGATATAGACCAGAGTCTCCTTCGACTGAAATTGGTTGGACTGCGTCACTTCTCCCGTCTTCGAGTTGATGCAGTTCGAAGTGATGGCCTTCGCGCCGTGAACCAGGCTCTTCACCAGGTTCCTGTAGTCGCCCACGTTGAAGCTCATCGCCTGGGACGAGGGGAATCCGAACTTGGACTTCCCTGCCTCCTTTTCCTCGTTCAAATCGGGAATAACAGGTTTCACGTCCTCTGTCTTGATGTCCAGGCCCGGAGGGGCCAGTTGTTTCGTTTTGTTCCTCAGGATCGGTATGTAGATCTTCGCTATCGTCTTGAACTTCAAGACGAACACCAAGAGAATCCTCATCAGCAGCTCCCTGCCTTGCGTGCTGTTCTCTGCGTCGGACCTCTGCCTGACCGTGTCCACCAAGTTCATCAGCAACTTGCAAGACACCATCTGCACCGCGGTCGGAAGACTCTGGTCCAGCAGGTTTTTGCTGTACAAGTGCACCGCCCTGGAAACGTCGCTCAAGGGTAGCAACAGCCTCACGTGATGGACCAAGTCTGCCAGAGTCGAGTACGCCAATGGTCTCAGCGACTCGTGAGTCGTCCAGCCTCGACCGATAAAGATGTCCTCGTCGAAGAAACACTCCATGTGCGGGATGAACTTGTTCCGAAGATCCGTGGCTAGGATGTGTCTCGAAGCTATCACCAACTCCTTTCGCAGGTGCGCCACTTCCATGGGACACAGCGTGAACAGACCCAGTATGCCTTTCACCAATATGGAGCTGTGCTGAGACACCACGTCCTGGTAGATTCTGATCACGTAGGCTAGGAAAGACAGCGTCTTGATCTGAGCCCCCATGAAGTCGACGAACACTTCTTTGTTGAATCCCGGGGAGCCTCTGTGCTGAGGACTCGGCTGCAGGGTTATCGTCGTTATCACCAGGGGGATGAAGTCCGAGACGTCCTGGTGCACGTTCTGCTTGTACAGTTGGTTCATTAGCACGACTATGATCGGTAGCTCCTGAAGCACTTTTAAGGACAGAACTGCTTTGGGAATGAGATTGTACTGGAAGAAAATATTCCTTTTAGTAACGATTCTATTGAAAGGTAGATCCTTCGCGAACTGGAATGATAGAACGTAAAATTGCTTACTGTGACTACTGTGCCATCCGCAGCCTTCTTCTCGCTCTGTATAGCCGTGATTGTGAACGTCTCTTTCAGCAGCGCCTCTATGTTTATCTCCGACAAATCCTTCACCCTTAACGGCGGACGGGGCTCGAATATTTTTGGTAGGTTCTTTGGTAGCTCGCTGTACACCGATTTCACGAATTGCAGAAAATACTGTATCTCCGGATTGAAGGCGGGCTTGTACTGCTTGTGCAGCTCGATGATGATCCGCAGACAGACCAGCACGTTCTCTTCGTTGTCGGTCTCCAACAGTTTCGACATTAAGCTCAAGATTTGTTTCACGTACGGACGAAGATAGTCGTTGCTCGGCAACCTGTGTATCATCTCCAGGATCAGCTTCCTGACCTGTTGTATATTGTATTCCGATATGAAGTGCGGCTCGCCTTCTTGAAGAATCTTCAGAAATATCTTCATCATGTGATCGAGAAACGCCGGGTATTGCGAGGAGCACATAATGACCTGCGGAGAAAAAGATTCGGATGATCGGTATTGTCTCTTTCAACGATCGAGAACTCGTGAAAATTGTCAAGACTTTGGTACCTCGAAATTCTCGGACAATTCTTGAGCGGCCTTCAGTTTCAACTCGTCCTTGGAAACCGGATCAGCCAGCATGGTCACGTACGACCGGTACGTGTTCATCTGGGTGACTGGGTCCGGCGGTGCCATTTTGATTGTTCAATCAAAATCTTATCCCTTTACGCTACGTCTGGTCCATTAGAATACCTGCGGCCAAGCAAACGTGTTCTATCTTCAAACGGAGGATGCATAGCTCCCGCGAAATCAATGAGACGGCTATGGACTTCGTAAACAACCCTTAGCAACCACCCTGCAGACGCTTTTCCAACGTTTTGCAAAGATCTACGATTCTTTGTAAATTTTTTGTGGGCTGCAAAATTCGTTCGGTCGCAGGCGACAACGGAGAAGCAGCGTTGAAATTTCGCGAACAAAAGTAATTTAGCGGGGTCTAGCGATTCGCATGGTCGCCGAAGTCGACGTCTATGGAGATGGCAGCGGATCATGAATATACGTCTACACGGTATAAGTACTCGCGATATTCGAGACCCGATCTCAGTTTCCTCGCAATGTTGTTGGGAACCTGATGGGATAAGATTCGATCGCGAGAGAACGTTTAAATGAAAAATGGACGAATCTACCGTGGATTCGATCTTCGCGGGCTCTTTGAAGTCCCTGCCCGCGGTCAGCTCTAAAATCGTCAGGATATTTACCAGCTCCACGTTCACCGGTATCGTTGATAATTAATTGTAAGAATGTGAACGTGATATCGAATTATAATGACTGCGATTCCAGATACCGCGATGGAACGTAACACTCTGATGGCTCAGTGCTACCCTAAAATCAAGGACTATTGTAGAGAGAAACACGGATTGGAGTTTCAGGTAATTGCAGCCACAATTAAAAAAATCTAGTTCGGTATAACGAAACGGTAATTAAAAAATAATGCGACGATATTGCATAACTATTTCGGTGTATTTATTTGTTGTATACACATATATACGTATTTGGGAGAGATATTGCCGAGATACGTGTCGCATGTTCGCTCGTCCTTGAGGAATTGATTTCCTCGTGCCAGGTACCAAGTCCTGCACACGAGGAAGAGTTTCCGAAACTTTTAATACTAAAGTTCAAGCTTGACACGTGACCAGTCAAGTTGCACCCAACACAGACGCAACTGGGAGATGTGTTTCGATTGCAGGTAGTTGACATGAGATGGGGTGTAAGGGACGAAGCGACCGACGATCACATGACCACAGAACTTTGCATGAGGGAAATAGAGAATTGTCAGAGGCTCTCTATGGGACCGAATTTCGTGGTAACGATCTCGCCGATTTATTCCGCTGACTCTCCGAACGACGGTCTATTTTTCTCTAATATTTCCCAATAGGTTTTTCTTGGACAAAAATATGGCTATCGTCCTATACCGACGTACGTGCTCAGTTCAGAATTGGAAATGTTGCGAACAGAATTGGACGGTCAGGGAATGGACGTTAGTCTTTTGGATAGATGGTACAAAAAGGACAGCAACGCTGTGCCACCGACCAGTATCCTGCAACCTATATCGTCCATCTTAAAGAACTTTAACAATAAAGTATAAAACTTTCTTCTTCCCTTAGAGGTGCGTGAATTATGTTGACGTTAATGTCCCGCGATAATTTAGAGGATACCGAAGCTGCAGCAGGAGGACCAGGCCATTTGGTGGGACACCATGCTAAAGATGCAGAAGCTGTTCCGAAAAGGAGCACAGTCTCTGTTCAACAATGGGAAATTCGACAAAGACACGATGCACAATTATTTCATGTCCGGTGAGCAACTGATTCACGCGCGAACCAACACTGGCAGCTATTCTGATTTATTAATTTTCCAGTAACCGAGCGAGAAGTAATCAACGGCGTCCTGAACGTTAAGAACACTAAAAACCACTGTCTAGCCTACGTGAGATACATAAACAACATAAATCTTCAGAACTTGAGAAAAGCGAGTCTCTTTTTGGATATAGCGAACAGAAGTTTGGACAACGAAGCTTCGAAGCTCTTGGCAAACCTGAGGGACGAGAGACTGCCTGATAAAATCGAAACTACGAATCTACAAAGGTACTAATTCCCTCGAAACTTTGCTCCCAACGATTGTTCGACAAGTTCGTTCTCTCAGATACACGGTGGAATGGATCGGAAGAGAAGGTCTGGACACAGAGACGCACAGTGAATACCTCCAGCATTTCATAACTCATTTTTATCGGAACATAGTGAAGCTGGTGGACCGTGCCATGAGAAAAGAAGACAGTTCCGCTCAAGGACAAATAATAACAGAGATGTTGCAGCATCTTCACGCTTGCAACAACTCTGTCAGGGTATGTTTCTGATACTTCATCGTTGGCGAGGCAAAAAATAATATTTCGATACATGGTACCTTCAGGTGTTTTACGGCCGAGAGGACACCTTGATGAGGATCAAAGAGTACATGCTAGGAGACAGCGACAAGCCCCTGGTTTTATACGGAGAGGGTGGATGTGGCAAGACGTCGTTATTAGCAAAGAGCGCAGGGCTGACAAGCGGTACGTGGCTCACTGGGAAAAAGCCAATCAACATAATCCGGTTTCTTGGCACTACCCCTGACAGCAGTGCCCTGACACCTACGCTGATCTCGATTTGTCAACAGGTAAACTAATCAACACCTTGGTGGTCTAGAAATACTATATTTTTGTTCTCTTCTGAGAAAGTGAAAGACGCGCGGGATTTACATGAACCCTGACGGGCATGAGATATTTTACAGATCTCCTACAACTTCATGCTACCTTTCGACGAGATCCCAGACGATATAGTCCCGCTGACCGCGTACTTCAAATACTTGCTGACTCTGGCAACGAACGAGCAACCGATTCTCTTATTTCTGGACAGCGTGGACCAATTAACAGGTGTTCAAGGGAATAAATTGTCCTGGCTACCAACTAGACTCCCCACCAACTGCAAGGTACTCGATTGTATATCGGAAGAATTGTACAGGATTCTAGCATTCGACAATCTTTTCAGATGATGCTGTCTTGTGCTGCCGAAGAATCTAATCCCGTGATCTCTCGGGACTATCAGCTTCTGCGAAGGATGATAGACACGGAAGAGAATTTCATCGAAGTGATAGCCCTCGGAGAGGACCTAGCTATGGACGTGATAAGGTAAAACAGACTTAAATCTGTACGAACATATTTATACAGAAGAACGTATCCATAGGATGTGGATGAAGACAGCGCACAGGGATTTGAACAACTATCAGTGGCGTCTGGTAGCGAACGCTATATCCAAGTGCTCGCTGCCAATTTTCGTGAAGTTGGTCTTCGCGGAGATCTGCAGATGGAGGAGCTACACGAAGCCGGCCGACACCCACTTGACCAGCACGGTGATGGACAGCATCATGATGCTGTTCGAGAGGATAGAGAAACAGCATGGCAAGATCTTGGTTTTCCATGCATTGGCTTACATCACTGCGGCGAAATCGGGACTATCCGAGTCCGAGTTAGAGGATCTGATCTCTCTGGACGATAAAGTGTTGGACGATGTCTATCAATACCACTTGCCACCTGTTAGGAGAATCCCTCCGTTGCTTTGGACCAGGATAAGGAACGATTTGCCTAATTATTTGAGCGAGAGGGAAGCCGATGGCGTCAGTGTCCTTAATTGGTATCATAGGCAGTTCAGGGACGCCGCGAAAGAAAGGTACTTCAAGAACATGAACATGGCGATGTACTTTCATTCGATGATCGCCGACTATTACTTGGGCATTTGGGGAGGAGGACGACCGAAGCCTTTCAAGTACACTGAGATTCAAAGACATCGGTGAGTGAATTTATGAAATTAGGGTATCGTGGAAACCTCGGGACTCTATTGCAGTATAAAATGTCTCTTCTAGGTTCAACTTAGCGGACAAAGAAGGTGTGGCGGACAGGAAGGTCCCGGAACAACCCCTAGCATTCTACTCAAAAGAGGGGACAATTACGAGATACAATTTAAGAAAGGTATAGAATAATAATATCTGTAATATTTATTCATTGATTCACTGTGAATTTTCAGTTCGGAGAGCTGCCGTTCCACCTAGTCAGATCGCGTCGGTTCAACGATCTCTTCGAAAACGTGTTATTCAACTACGAATGGCTGCATGCTAAGCTCAGTTCTTGTCCCCTGCAAGCTGTACTTTCAGACTTCGAGGACGCGTGCACCTTCATCGATAATCAAAGCATCGTCAGGTAATATTTCAAGCTAGAACTGTGGAATTTTGGTAATTTTGTACGCTGTAGCGTTTCTTTTTGTAGGGAGCTGATGCTGGTAGCTGATGCTCTGAGATTAGGGGGTGCAATTCTGGGCTCTCACCCCGATATGCTTGCACCCCAGTTGATAGGCCGATTACTACCGGAAATTGGGGGCAATGTTAATGTGAAGATGCTACTCAGGGCTTGTGACAACGATGGTGCTAAAGACTGCGCCCTACTACCGGTTTATCACTGTTTGCATACACCTGGAGGACCTCTGAAAGTAATATTAGCGATATACCTGCTCGGCTATATAGGGACTATATGATTTGAATTCTTTCAGTATTCACTGGAGGGTCACCAGTTCGCTGTCTTTGGCTTCTGTCTGACTTCTGACTACCGACACGTGGTCTCGATATCCAACAGGTTCATCACCTGGGACTTGAGCACCAGCGACATGACGAGGGATGTCAATCCCGGAGTCGAAGGGATCATGCAGAATTTAGTTTTGAGTCCTGACAATAGATACGCAGCTGCGTTTACTACCAACAATCAGGTGGACAATGTTCTGACTTTAACTACAGTTTCGTAATTTCAACTCTATAATTGCTTTTGAATGTTTAAGATCGTCGTATTGAACACCTTAACGAGCGAATTCGTCACCATCGACAACCCCCTGTCGAACGAGGATCCGGTATACGGGGTGCATTTGATGAACCAGTTTTTCTTCGTCTACGGGAAATTAGGCTGGTGCAGGTTCGATCTGAGAGGGAACTTGCTGGAGACTCACACGAATCCAGAAGATTCTAACAAGTGGCCGATTTTGCGTAAGGGTGAAAAAATTTTGTACCTGTTTACGTGGTATTTTTTTTTTAACATTGGGAATGCCTCTTTCATGTAGATGTAGAGCACACGACCTTGAACGACTATAGAATAGTGTTCTGGTCTGGGAATATGGAGGACACTGGCATGCTATTGCATACTTACAGGAAGAAAGGATCTTTGGATCCTCTGAATTTCCACAGGTAAAATGTCCTTTTGATATTGGTTGTTTAAAATTAATTGCAATTTTATTAACGTCTATTTTGTAGTGCCCTAACGATGACCAACGATAAAAAGGTCCTGTATACTTGTACAGTTAACAGCGATAATCGAGTCACTAAGTATACTTGCGATGAAACGTCCTCGCAATGGGAAAAAGTTTTCGATATGCCTAGAGCTTATAACGACGACGTCGAGTACTTGTTGCAATTAAAATTAGACAGGGAAGAAGAAATGCTACTGGCTACCACTGCCAATGGTTTCATCGTTTGGTTTTTGGAGAACAAAAGCGATGCTTACGTTCTGATGTTGCCGAACGGTGTTCGGAACATCAGCACGAGAATGACGTGGTCCAATTCGATAATGGTCAGTGGCACGAAAAATTATGCCGTCGCCGGTGTGAGGTATGTTTCGTGGTAAATCGAGAAGACAATTTTAAATCGCGAATACAATTAAATGTGGCCTATCTTCTTCACAGAAAAAATTTGTACGTTTGGAGCTTAGAAACGACAGAATTAGTGAAGATATTAGATGCTCATTTTGCCAGGATCATTCAGCTGGAGGCACTAACTGTTGGCAATTGGAACAGTGTGGTCACTTCGAGCATTGACAGAAGTGTTAAAGTATGGAATATAAATAACATTTTTGAACAGGTTCACGTGATAGACAGACACGAGCTGCAGGTCGATATGATAAGGTAATTTGGATTTCAATGTTAAATAAATATATATTTTAATTCTGACGCAAGCATATTTTTGGTTTCACAGTTTAGCAGAACAGTCTAATCTGGCTGCGATAGTCACCAGAGATTGTGTGGGGATCTGGGATTTACACACTGGAAAGCTGATCTCTAAATTAGCTGATAGTCCCTTGGGAGCAATTGTTACTCATGCTTGTATGACACACGATGGAAGGTCGGTGATGTTTGTCAGTCAAAGCGATGTTTGAACAACAATGTCGTATATTGTTATTTTATTGTAGGTATGTCGTATCAACAGAATCAGGCAATGTCCTGATATGGAACAGAATTACAGAACAAGTGTTGTTTAAAGAAGAACAACAACATGTGAGACAACTAACATTAATTGAGAACTCCAGCAAGTTCATGGCTGTTTCCAGACCTAAAAATCCTGCGGGGGTGGAAAGTATGAAGACCAGTGCTACTCTTGTTATGAGATCAATTCCTGGTACATTGATGCTTAATGAAAGCTTGAAGCTGTAAATAATGGTTCCTAATAATTAATATTCATTTTTAGATGGTAGAACAATATTTTTATTGCAATATATAGTCAGAAGCCACACAGGTACACCCTTTAGAAATGTAGTAATTACATCTGACAATGCTTTCCTGATTGCACCAGCAGCTGATAAAGGCAACAGAGATTGCATTATAATTTATAATGCAAAAACGGGTGCACTGATCAACAAAATCCCTATAAAATTGCCTGGATTTAAAGTAAGAGAAATTTGTTGTATCTTGTACATTTTTTAATTTGTTTAATTTTTATAGGATATACTGTCTATTACTCCAATGCCCAATAAACCACAGTGGGTGGGCATTATTGGAGCAGACAAGGGCACTATTTTGGATATAAATAAGAAGAAATTTATCCGTACTATTCCAAAGTGGAGTGGGAACATCAGCAGAGATGGAAAATACACTTTATACGCACCCAGCAGGTAGTCTAATTTTTCTAAAATGAGAGAGAAACATAATATAAACTTCAATGTTCTTATTTCTACAGAGGAGGGCTAGAACTTCTTGAGTTAAAGAAAGGTACCAGTGTTAAGACTTATATCCCCAAAGTAGCAGAAGGGGTGTTCACTGTAATATCTATGTTCAACCGTACAGATGAATATGTTCTCTATTACCACAGTGGTAGAAAAACTATACGTGTATTTAGGTAAAGACAGATGAAATTGTTTCCCTGAAATTATTGAATTTCATCTATATATCTGCTTTCCAGATCATCAGACTGTGAGTTGATAGCAAATTATAGGGTTCAAGCAGAGTTAAGTGCAATAGATAGCACTTATGATGGTAAAAGTATAGTCCTAGGTACAGTTGACGGTTGTGTGTCTGTGGTAGCTATAGTAGATCCCATGAAAGAAGAAATGAAAGAATATGTTTCAAACTTACCATCTCGTGATGAGGATGTAAGTAATGAAGTTTTAATATTAGTAACTTAACACACTACATATACACAAGACATCAATTTTTTAAAAAATAATAACTAATAAGCTTTCAACAGTAATGTCGTAGTAAAAATTGAATTTCTTGAATATTCAACTTACTTAGAAATTTGTCAACTAGCAAAATAGGTTAGGGTAAACACTTGCCGCATTGTTGAGTAAAAACAGTATAAAATAATTATCAAGTCTCAGAGTGAAGACTGATTCGAAGCAATTGATTTGATAGTACTTAAAACACCATACAACACTTTCTTACAATCGTTTTTGTTGAAATTATGACGATCATAACATCCCGCTCAAACACGAAATCAAGCGTAATTTTTCGTATACAAAATATTTCATAGTGAAACGACTCTTAAAGCGTGCGGAATTGTTTATAAAATTAATGACAATTACCTTACTTCGTTTGTTTACCAAAAATATAAAACTACTCATATAACTCAGATACGAAGTAACAAACATAAAACGTTCTTCCAAAACACTCGACTCTCGACCACGATTTTCTTTCGCTCTTTCTCTGTCACTCTAATGGAATGGAAAGCATCGAACCTAGGGACCTTTTGTACCGAATGGATGGTAAAATATTACTAGATATTCATTCGATTTTTCCTCTAGCGGTATCCTTTTTCTATAGGTCGATTTTGGTTGAACTTTCAACCAATAATCTACCATTGCATATAGCTCTTTTCACCATAAGTAGATTTTCTACATATGTGCACAGATATGTAATGTACATAAATTTCATATCGATATGCAAATGAATAATTCTTTTTAGTGGAAGAAAAAGATGGAGAAACAACGAGCTGCAATTAAATTCAAAGCTGCGGCACGAATTGCAAGGGTAACTCACGATTTAAATGCGATCGTGCGAAGTGCAAATGTTGCGGAAACGATTGAGGAATTAGAAGAGAATTCTGAATAAAGATCGCATCGTTTTTATAGTAAATCTTTTATAGTATAGTAAAAACGTAATAAATACGAAAGGGAATCTTAGAATTTATATTACATTTATTTGTGTCTTTTCGTGTAATTAATTTTTATAATCTTTCTTTTCTTTCCGTTTTACATTTTTTCTCCGCGTTCAAAAAGTAAAGGGCACGAGACGTGTTCCGTAGTTTGAATTGCAAATGAAGTTACTCCTATGTGCAAGCTAGACGGCAGTTGCCCTTGCACAGACCAAGTTGTTGTTTCTCTTAAATAACAATTCTTCTTCGCTCGTTCTATGCAAGGGAATATCCTTCATTTAACAATGTTGAGTCACGACTGAAGACGTCTCGTGCCGACGCAGGCGTGATCAAGTGTAACGTTTCCGTTTTTGTTCTTTGTTTACAAATTTTGAGAGATCGATAGTACTACAGCGATGATCTGAAGACGAATGTCGATTTCTAATTCGTGAATACAAGTAAAATGCCAGTCAATTACGAAGTTGAATGAGTCACATGTAAACGTGCCCATTGCCGTTGATCGTGTTTCCCCTCCCGATTACAACAGTGATTCTACAAATTTCTGTTGTTAAACCGTTTCATACGGACTTGGATCATAATTGCGATAATCAATTTACTGATTGTTTAAAAAATTTGGTACTTGGTATGGCAATCGAGTCATGCTACCATCAGGTGTATCAATGATCTGTAAACAACTACTAAACGTATTTTGTAACAATGTAAAACTAAACTAAAACACACCTGCATCAGAGCACATGTATGAACAATAGTTCCAGCAGTACATAAGATGTATGGCAGCTAATCGGATAAAATAAACAACGCTCTTCATTCAAGAGCCAGCTCTATACTAAAATTCGGGTGAGACGCGAATCCATTGCTTTACAAAATGCTGCTCATACAAATACAATTAACGTGTGATCGAAACATATTTGGAATTTGAATGATCGATTTACACTTTGGTCGCTCCAAAATGCCCCGTTAACAAAACAAATGTGAATTTCGTCTGTGATGCTGGTTTTTCCATGATAGCCTTATCTAGTAGTTCTGCAATGGTTTTTTTTCTTGTTTATCCGGTTTCATTTCTTTCCTACTTTCCCTCAAACACTGGAACTTCTGTGAAAGCATTGGTAGCTTTATTCGTAATATAGTGCCATTTTCAAATTTTTATTGCATAGCACCTCCTTTTTGCTTTTGTTGTTGCTGTTGTTCTCGCTGTTGTGCCTGCGCGGATGCCTCCGTATCTTTAATATGTTTTTCGACCTGAAACAGTTATAGGCATTACAGTAACGTAAATACATTTTGTCCTCTTTCGATTCCTCCCACAACTATACATACCACTTTTTTTACATGCTTGTATGCTCCAGATTCTGTGTTACCATGAACATTGTCAACTTTGTATGGAGGTTTAATCGTGACATTGTCAAATACAACGATATTTGTTCCATTCCACGTTATTTCCGGAATTGTCTTTGATATAGTACTGAAGAGCTTTTGTCCTTCTGGGGATACTCCGGCCTGCAGAGCCATTACCAGTTTCTTTTTCTCTTCGATTTGATTACGTACTCTTCTGTTTAACTTTTGCAAATTAAGGCTTTGTGGTGGTTCGCTAGTTGTGGGGCTAACTTCTCGTTTTACTTGGACCTCAGATACCAAGGATAAATTTACTATATGTACGTCGTTTAACGTGGGTGTTCCGCTTGAAGAAGGACATTCTGATTACCGTTGGTTAAGAAATTATAGACAATAATCGATATGCAGAGTTAGAAATAAACTGCCCAAAACAATTAGCAGGTATATTACAATTTTCTTTGCTCGAAAACGGTGCATTCCCAATATGTAGCAATTGTATCACATTCCACCGATTAAAATAAAATATTCACTAATTGTTTCGAGCAATATAGATTCGTTTGATAAATAATTTCTGTCAGAATGGGTCTCCTATCAAAGTTGAATCTAAGGTTATAATCAAGTCGATATTAGTTATCTTATCGGGCTGGAAAAATATCATTCGCGATTTCTACGGATGGGAAAGGTGAAAGCGGCTGTCGAGATCGTGGAAATGCACGCGAGAAATGTACACAGCGACGAAACAAAACCAATGAAAATTCCAGCATGGTTGATTGAATGACGAAACTAACCTGACTTCGTGTAGCTGGTTAGGAAATCATCAAATAATTGACAAGCGGTATTTCGGGTTGCCCGTGAAAAATCGCGGAACCGAATGTATTTGTCTTCGATCGGACATTAGAAAATCTGTCGCGGGTTGCACGGAATATTCATTACACTGGGTTGATGTTGAACGAGCGACGGATGAACGCTGGATACATGTACACGTCGGGAACGGCGATAATTCTCGGGGAATTTATATGAAAAGGATACTCAGTATCAACATTTTAGTTTGTGGATCGAATGCCAACACTTCGCCTTCGATCTCCTCCTTGTAACAAGTTTTACAGGCCACCGTACTCCCAATGCTGAAACAATCGTTGGCACCGGCCATTTTTCACTACGGACTCAGAACCGCGGGCTCCCTGTCGCCATCTGTTCTAATTTCAAATGTCTCACGAAATTCCCACCATTTTCTCCATTCCCGGTATGCGTTGCGGCTTGCGGCTGGTGGACGTTCGAAGGATGTGCTCTTCAATTAATTGACAATTCATTAGGAAATCATTCGAGCACAGTTATGAATTATGCTGCCACTTGATGCGGAATTCTTTCTTCTCCTACTGGGTTATGAGGTTAGTCTTTTCTGCATCGTTAAAGAAGTAATTTCTTTTCTTCTATTAGAGCGTGGTTAAATTTAGAAGCCCGCCATTGCGTTAAGAACGTCCGATACAGATCTGTGCAGCTTATTTCAACGGACTTTCATAAATGAAGAAAACAATGATTGTTTCAGTTTATTATAATATTTACCGACGATTGTGGTAATTACATACTAGAATAACGATTCAGGGTCAGTTCTGTTAATCAGATAGGTATTTTGGAATCTTAAGGTAAGCTCTGTTAGGTTAATAGTCATTTTGGCATTTACTCGATCATCTAGAAATTTCGTTTCTATAATTATGAGTAATTCTTTAAGCATTATGTATCTCTCGACCATAATTTCTAGAGATGCGAAGGGACCTAAGTCCTAAGGGACCTAATTTGTGAACTTTAGTCTAGATAGCAATCTTGGTTTCTACGTTATTCGTAGGATCGTTAGCATTGTTATTGGAGTCTATTCGAATTTTTTTTTAATTTTAGGTACGACGCAGAATTGTGCTTTCCCTGCACCGATTCTCGGTCATCTACGTTCATCGTTCGAGGAACTTCGTCAACAATCGGGGTGTGTCGGGGGAATTCGGGTTGGCGGGTAGTTCCGTAAGTCGCGTGGCTTCGGACGTTCAGTGTATAGATATCGCTCCGCTGAATAACATCGTGATATCCGTTCTTATCGCGTTTTCTGAACATCATTCGCAATTGTCAACCGGATAGTGACAAAGTGAGTGAACCGAAAGCATTGCTACGTCCGTAAACGGTGTCCATTATGGTGCACAGTGACCCGCTTTCAGCATCTTCGACATCCTCTTCGTGATACGTAAGTCGCGATTTCAAATAATCTTACTTAACCTTCATTTCTGGCGAACGCGTCCAAGAATTTATTGTGTATTATTCGCTAAATACTGTGAAATATTTTTATGTTAGAACATCTATAAAAATAGCTGTTCTTAAACGTCTTATTTTGCGCTTAATTAAAGTGAACTTGATTGATACGTCTATTTCATTGAATTTATTTATTCTCGATTATTACAGTATTGCAGAAATTGTAATGAAATGATAGTGATTTATCTTAAGGGCAGATAGAAAGTATCTTAGGAGTCTTAGTGTTTTCTTTTTATACAGGATTTTGAACTTTTACATATGTGGATTGTAAATGAATAAAGTTTACAGTACAGTAATTACTGTATCAAGTTACCAAGTCCAAGACGTTCCAAACATTTCGCTTCCCATCGTTTTTTATTTCGCCGGTCCCATTAATTTTCGTGCAATCAAATTCGGGTTGACCTTTACCGCAGCTTTCCTCGGTACACAATATAATGGCCTGTCAGGGTGACATTTATCGGCGGAAAGCTTTTTGACGAATCCCCTAACATTACCCGAAGGTCGATGGAAACGGAAGATGTTGGTGTGTGAAACTTGAGACACGATATCGTTTCGCGTGACGATGATTGTCGGGCGGAATTGTTGCGCCTTTTATACGGCTCCATTAGGAAACCATTACAAGTAATTACTCACCCCCATTCAATATTAATTTGCAGCGATATTCGTCCGCGTATTCGTCCTTTTATTTGTCCCTATATTCGATCTTTTATTCGATACATTAGTCGTCCTTTTATTCGTCCATGACTTCGTTGCGCAACGAGCTCTGAACATTTTCTCGTATCGAGGACTGCGAATGGAAAAGATTTACGGTTTAGTGGATTTTCGAATTCGGTTCGTCGGATGCATGAAATTTACTATCGACTTCAACAACGTGCTCGAAGCTCCTCGGTAATCGAATTAGTTTCATGAGACCGAGTTCGCCTCGCTAGAATTGCTCGCAAACTTGCGCTTTTTTGCTCGAAATCCGCAGCATCGTTGTTTTTGCCCTTTATCCGCGCGCACCATTTGTTTCCTCCGCCAGATGAATATTTGTTTCTATTTGCTACGCTCTTTAATCCCGTAACATCAATCGGAATAACAATCATTGTTCCGCAAATAATTGCAGGACGCCTCCAACCGCGCGCATTTCCGAAATCTGCATAATTCATCGTTAGCGACAGCAATCCTGCTTCTAAATCCGAAGCTGGATTACAATTCTCTTCGTTCGATAGTAATTAGATTGCTCCATTTCCTCGGAATTTTCATTGAACTTTTTCCGCGGACAATGATTGCCATTCGCGATGCCTATTAATTCTTTCGATAATTTGCCATGCAATGATTTCTCAAAGGATGTATTCATACCAGTGATTAATATAGCAGTTTATTATCAATTTTTACGTCCACTTAATCGTAACTACAAATCGATCAGAAATCGACTCTCGAGTCGGATCGACTCCTTAGCTCGGCTAAACCGCTTCGGTAGGTCTTCGCGCGTAGACATCCGCGGTTTAACGACCACGGTTGAAATTTTATGATCGTCCATATCAATCATAGAATAAGATGCAGCAACGAACACGACCATCAGACCTAGTTACATCCTGACCGAGGGAAGTGTAAACGGTCCTCTCTCTCTATACATATATACTCCAATAATTCACGCCAGTTAGGTCGCAGACTCGACCACTCGAGATAAATCACTGGAGGCATTCTGCAAAACGATTTTCTTACGATACACGTGTTTCCGACGATGCTCGATGGTTCGATTTGATTCTCGACGATCGAAAACCGTTCGCACGAATCAACGGTTTTTCCTCGCACGAATCGACGGTTCGGAAAATAATGCAGGCGGCGAGTTGTTGCCTCTTTCTGGCTGCGAATGAATCACCGGGTCGTTTTCACCGCAATCTGGAATTCTGTTCGCGAATGCCATACAAATCCTCTGCCATTCGTCTCGTTATCGACGCGAACCTATCGGTGCAGCGTTCCTTCCGATCGAACGCGTACAATAGACGCCGTATTTTGTTCCAGATGAATATTTTACGCGTCTCTCGCTCGTTGCCCGAATCAGATCTCTCGGTAATTAACGTTACTAAACATCGGCAACTCTCTAGAAACTACTTGTCTTCTGTTTATTGCAAACTGCAGCGTTCTCTACATTCGCAATGCAACGGAGTTCGCGAAGTGATCGATAAAGAAGAAGGTTTAACTTTCCCAGATTCTTGTTTCTTCGGTGCTTTTCTTTCTGTCCAGCAGTTGCAGCGTCGATATTCCTCGATCTTTTAATTCAATTGCTCCTCGTCCGAGATTCTAATTAGCCAATTTACATGACAACGAGCGGTCTTGCGATTAGACAATTGTTTTCCACGAAGAATCGTTCCGTTCCTTGTTGCCACAGGTCTCTCGGTTTCTCTCGTCGTAAACAGACGTTGATAAAGAACTCTTCGAAACGTCTCTCGGCTCGCTTTGACGTACACATTCTCTTCGCTGTAGCTTTTAAACGACGGTCTCCCACGTTTCTATCTTATAAAGCTTCAAGCGACGCGAGCCGAATTGTATCAAGGTGGCTGCTCGCAGACAAATTGCGTAAAGCAAATGAAAATTCATAGATAGCGCAGTCCGCCAGAAACATCGCGCACTCGTGGGCGGAATGCACATTTTCGGCCGAGAAAAATAGTGCGAGGTAAATGAAAAGGATATTCGTGTCACGGTCGGGCAACGGATTCGCAGATAAACGCGTTTTTCAGTGCTCGCTGTGGCGCGAAGATAAAGAGCGTCTCGCCGTGTCGCGCTCGGAGCCGCGCCGCGACGGTCGAATAATTGTGAAAGAGCCGCGAATTGGTCTCATGAAAAATGCATAGCTCTTTTTCTCGGCGCGCCGGCTGTCGATCTCTCTCTCTCTCTCTCTCTCTCTTCGGCGTTCTTTTTCTCTGGTCAGCGCCGGTGCCAGGAAACTGCGACCACCCGCACAGGTAAGGGCGATCGCACGTGTCCGCCGCTCATAAATAGAATCGCCTCGCCTCGCCTCGCCGCGCCGTTTTGCATCGAAAACGTTGCCCGGGGAACGTGTAAATCACAGAAACGTCTCCGCGGCCAGACATTGTACTACCGTCTTTTAGGAAAATATCGAAACCAGGCCAAAACCGAGCGAACACGCCCCCGTTTATCGCGTAATCTTGCGCTTCTACCTCGTTGTTCCGTTTCGTTTTTCCCCGTGGAAACTCGGGCATTTATTTCCCCGGCCAGATAATCGTACGATCGCCCGGTACCAGGTTCCGTTTCCTTCGAATCGGCATTGTGTCTCGTATCGTTATCGTTTTACGAAGCCCGTGCGGCCTCTGAAATACAATCGAGATCGGAATTACATGCATAGTTTGACGAACAGCAGGCTCGTTGCGACACCACCCGACGCTTGAAAAATTCTCGCGTCCATGGTTTGGCATCGCCGGCATGGTGCGGGGACTCGATCCCGACCTTTCCTATAAATACTAGTTTTATTGCGAACACGTGGCGCCTGTTTAGCTGCATAAATTCTGCCTGTTATCGCACTTGCTCCGTGTTCCGATCAGCCAACTGTGTACTATAGTTCGCGTTCGAGAGCTTCTGTACTTCCAGGCTGCGTATGGTCTACGTCTCTGAAGCACCGCGTGCACGCTGCCTGTTGTGCGCCTCTCTTAATTGAACCGGTAGATTACGCGTTTTTCTCCTAAACGTTCTCGAACCAGTCGACGGTTAACGTTCCGTAGAAAGGATGAGTAGATTCTGTAACGTTCGATCGTTGGACCGCAAAGTTTATGCGAATGCCTCTGTGCTCGCGTATCGTCCGCGAATGAACTTCGAGGAAGTACGTTCAAGATTTATTTACCGTGGCTTCGACAGATAAAAAGGAACGTAAACGTGCATTAAAGTACATTAAACTT